TGGATCAAATAATTTTATTTAAAAAATAAAATGTTATTATTTTTATTATTAAAATTATATTAAATACTGAAATTACTAGTTCAAATACAATTTATTTCATTTTAATAAAAATTCTTAGATTCAAGTAAATAATTATTTGATAATAGACAACTCTGTAAACAAATTTTCTTTGATTCAAATAACCGATTACTTGACTATTATCAATTAATTATTTAATTGAGTCAAATAATATTTTTATTGGAGTCAATTAAATGGTTCAATTTATATTTGCCTCAAATACTGAAATTATTGGTTCAAATACCATTTAATTGACTCCAATAAATATTATTTGATTCAAGTAAATATTTAATTAACAATAATCAATTAATCGGTTAATTGAATCAAATAAATTTTATTTCAGAGTAAATATTTTAATTTTATAACAATTTTAGAATTTTCTATTCTATAATAAATTTATAGATTATATCAGAACTTTATAATTATTATCATTTATTATTATAATAATAAATGATAAAAACAATTTTACATTGCATAAATTTTTCTATAACAATATATAAAAATAAGAAAAAGTTTTTTTTAAATCGTCAAGAGTTTTAAAACGAAAAATTAGAATGAATTCAAATTAAATTAAAAATTATTATTCAATAATATAGTTTTTCATTTTTTTTAAAGAAATGTTTTCATTACGCAAAAATCATTTTAAAATTTTACACCCTTACAAAAATTAAAAACAATTGTTTTGATTTTCATTAGATAAAAAAATAAAAATTTTGCTCTTAAATTTTTACAGCAAAAGTTTTAAATTCTTAAATTATATATTAATTATTAAAAATTACAAAATTACTAAAAATTACTGTAAATCTAAAATATTTACTAGAATTGCACAAAATAAAATTTTTCCAAAATATTTATTTAATTTATTATTGAAACTAAATTTTATTTGATAAATTTATTTGGCCTTTTAAGAAGGGTAAATTTTCTTTCAATTTTCTCATTTCACCGTAAATCAACGTTAACTTATCCCTGAAATAAATAATTTCAGATGTAATATATTAATATATAGAATAAGACGCAGCATTATTAACTGGTAATAAATTTAACCTTGAATTTAGAACAATAGAAGTCACAATTGGGTGTGTGCGTTAAGTTATATTATTTAAAGAAAAACGCCTCGATTATAATGATTAGTCGTAAGAAAAAATTAATTTTTGAACTTTTTCTACGTCTTACTATTTGAGAAATGAATATTTAATATTTTTAACATTCAAAATATTTTTTAGTCTTTTATATTAAATTTTTAAATTTTTATATTAAAAATTTTTTCTTTTTTCTTTTAAATCTATTTATTTATTTATTAATAAAAAATTTAAATTAAAATGGAAAATTATAATTTTCTATTTTTATTCAAATAACCGTGATTACTTATCTATATTATTAAATAAATATTTACTTGAATCAAATAATTTTTATTTAAGTCAATTAAACTGTATTTGAATCAATAATCTCAGTATACTTGAAGTAAATCGATTGCTTTGAAGTAAATTTTTAATAATTTTCAATATTAATATTAATAGTAGGGGAACATAGTCTAGGTCGGCCACCTTTTTGACTTTTGTTTATAACTTTTTTTTAAAAATGAATTTGGACAATTGAAGTATATGGTTGGAAAGTCCTGTTTAATAGGAACATTTTTTCTGTACAAAGTAAATTGACAGGTTTAAAAATGAAAAAGTTATAAAGATTTAAAAAAAAAAAAATTTGTAGTCCAGGTTAGCCATTACAGTCAAGGTCGGCCATGTTTAAAATTCAAAGGGCATTAATCGTTAAAAAATAAAATAACATGTTTGGAGTTACGGAAAATTGATTCTTTATTGTTTACAGTTTGTAACTTAATGAAATAACAAAATAATAACAATAAACAATATAAAAAAATAAATATAAATAAAAAAAAGTTTTGCACTAAAATATTAATAAAATTAAATAAAAATATTAATAAGATGATCAATTATATTATGAGTTATACAGAATTGCAGTTTTTGCAAATGAAGTAGCTCGTCCTCAACTTTGCGCATTTTAAACACATAGTGGCCGACCTTGACAGTAAGTAACATTACCGAATTGTTGTAAACAAAAAGAAATACGTTTCGGGATTCGATTTTTTACTTTGTTTTCCTTTCAACCATGAGTCCCACAAATTTTCTGCATACTTGCCTTGACGATTCAATTTGTTTTTTATCTTTTATTAATGGTTTTTCACATTATGCACAAAACTTTTTTTGAGCTTTTTTTGTACCGACGTCACAGAAAACACAATTTTCGATTTTCCGAAAATGTAATTGAACAAAAAGTTAGGTTTCACTAAGACAAGCTTCGACAAAAATGCGCGTAGGTGGCGCTAGTGAACTTGACAAAAAAACGCGAGTGGCCTACCTAGACAGTAGGCCAACCTTGACTACATTCCCCTAAAAAAATTATAATAAATAAAAATAATAATTTGTCAACTATATTATTATTATTTATAATTATTATATTTTGTTATATTATTATCAATTATTATAATTAAAAATACGTACTTTTAAAATTTTTGGTGAAAATTCAAAAAAATCTCTAATTTGCATTAGTTAATTAATTTTTAGAACATCTGCGAAAAATAATATTTTCAATAGATCAAAAGGGACTGGGCGCACATTACTGGCCCTTAGGCACGTTTAAAGTGCGTTGAAGTCTGAAGACTATAGAAAAAGAATTCACGATCGACATTAAAGATAACATTGTCACGTTTTATGTTTCATGTTGTGACACATCACGTTTAAGCAACAATAATTCCTCAACTGTAATTGCTTTTACGTGCCACCGACAAATCTTTTCCCCTCAATAATAATTTCCTTCCACCCAAAAAATTCTCTATTCCACAATTTTGTGAAAAAAAAATCATTAAAAATAAACACGAGCCAAAAAAATTTGCTGCGATTATAATCTAAAATCCGTTTTGTAAAACAATCGAAAAAAAGAATTCACAGCTAGCAAGAATATTAATCTTCAAATTAAATAATAATTAGGTAATAGAATATAATTTACTATTATTATAACTATTATTATTAAACCTAACTATTATTACACTAAAAAAAAATTTATTTGATTCAAATAACCGATTAATTGATAATTATCAATTAAATATTTAATTGAATCAAATAATATTTATTGGAGTCAATTAAATGGTATTTGCTTCAAATACTGATATTATTGGTTCAAATACCATTTAATTAACTCCAATAAATATTATTTGATTCAAGTAAATATTTAATTGATAATAGTCAATTAATCGGTTATTTGAATCAAATAAATTTTTTTTTCAGTGTATTATTATTATTATTAATATTTTTTACTATTTTGTTAAAGTTGATATTTATTATTATTTTTGTTATTAATTAATAAATTTCATTGTTGTTAAATTATACAGTTGATAAATAATAACAATAATAGTAATAATATTACTGTTATAATAATAGTTACAGAATAATTAATAATATTTTATTAATAACTACACGTTAGGAAAATTCTTATCTCAAAAAAATTATCTTAATTGAATTGTTTCACCTCCAATAATCATGTCTAATTCAATAATTAATATTTCAAACTAGAGGAAATGATTTATTTTTGAAATACCTGATTGTAGGGTAAAGAAAAAAGCAGAAACCGTCAATTAGGTCCTGGCGATAAAATAAGAAGATAAAATGTTGTTTAATATTTCCGGAATGACTATAATACACTAAACTCGAATATCTTTTATTTTTATAAAATATTCTTCATATCTTCCTTGGAAAACTTATTTCATGGATTTATATATTCAAACGACGAGACAGATTTAATTGATCGCTCGCGCCTCCACGTCCGGTCAATTCCCTGGCAACAGGGTATGGCAACTTGATCACGTGGTTTCAACCACTTTTTTTTTTTTAAAAGAAGAAAAAAAATAACTGACCAACATCTTTAGCTTGCTTATAATATACACAAACTTTTCCATTGCTTCAAGTTTTGTGTGTATATTATAAACTTTGTATATTATAATACACAATTTTCCAATACCGTTATTTCTATTTTTTTAATTTCTCACTTTCAAAGAAAATTTATTCATGCGACTTGAAAATTTATTTCTATTTCATTTTTATTTTAATTGAAAATAGTTGTTGTATTTTAATTATTGGATAGAAGTCGAAGAATGTTAAATTTATCCAATTCATACAATTTATATATTTGCTTAATTTCATTTAATTTATATTATTTTATATCATTTCTCGAATTGGGTTATCTTGGAAGAATTTGATATACTTAGCATCCTGTTAACTGATAAATCCTAAGTATGTAATAAATATTTCATACCAATGTGTTCGTATATCAAAGTATTCGTTTAATTTTTAAATATTTATGAACGAAACAATTTTTCTTCTAATCTTTAATTTCATAACAGAGTTTTATTCTCTCTAGATTTTGTTTCATCATAATATTGACAAATTCAGAGAGAATAATTCTAAATAATTAAACTTTGGCAATCTTCGTTACAAAACGAAATTTTTAAAAGAAAATAAAAAATCTAAGTCATAACCTTAAATATAATTCCTCTTTACTGAATATGTAACTTTTCTTTTTTTTGCAACTTTCATTCGAAGGACATCACGACTTTCCTACTTTTCACCATATGATGTCAATTTTTCGTTTATGTTCGACTTTACTTATAAGAGAGAAAAGAATCAAATTGTCGCGAACAGTTTACACTATACTTTAAAAACAATAGGGGAATTTACAATAAAAATAATTTTGATAAATTTTTTGCAAGGTGGCTCAAAACCGGATCCGTTTTAAAGGCCATACAGTTGTGAACAGTCCTTTCTATCTCTTGTCTCTGTGACGATATATTCATCCTTTAATCGTCAACATTTGACTTTTATTCACTAACAACAAACATTCAGATTGAATTTAATTCAGAAATTTTAATTACTTACTTGTGACAATAATTGTAGTCTCAACATTTCTCTGTGTCAAAAAACAGGGCACAGGTGCACTCATTCGCGAACCGAAACACAAACACATTCACTCACATATACACAAGTAGGAAGAGCAAGTTTTTTTTATATGTTTTTGCAAAGGACCAAGATGAGAATCAAGAAAACGACAACATTTCTCTGTTAGTGGGAAAATTTAAAGGGCTCCTTTTTTCAGACGCGTTTCATTCAATAATTATTTACTCTCATTAGTTTCATTTATTGACAACAATAACAAAACGGAAAAACTAAATATTAACTTCAACTTCCCTCACACAATGTTGATAGAACAACTGTGGGTCTCTCTGGTTGTATTTGACATAATTCATTTGGTGACCCCACGTCAACTGAAGAGCGCACGCGCGCATTTCGAGTCCTTGACAAGGAGGAGGAGTGGGGGGAAGAAAAATTACCAAAGGTCGATAAGATAGATATCTTTTAATTTTGCGCCTGATAGATGATAATCTCCAAACACGTGCTGATTACATCTTGTATTCTACAGGGGCACTCGTTATATTGTTGAAATAAATAAAAATAGTAAGGTAGTAGTAACATTTAAGATAAAAAGAAGTGATAAAATTAAAAAGAATTTATTAAAAAGGATAATTCGAAAGTGAATAATTAAAAAATTTATAAACTGTGGAAAAAGAATGGAAATAATATTGACTATTGTCAACTATTGTTGAAACGTCAAAATGGTAAACGTCACCTGTCAAATGTTACAACAAAAACATTGAATACCGAAAAGAGTGAATATTGTTCGTATTTTAAAAAATGGAAAACGATAATCCTGTCATATATGGTCTTGAATTTCAGGTAAGAAATAATTATACCAATAAATTTCATTGTTTTTGAAATATTGCTATTGCTATCAACTGTAGTTTTTAAGGTTATGTTACCCAGGAAATTCTTTTTCTAATAAGAGAATTTCTTTTCAAAAAATTACTATATCAAGAGTTTTTTTTTTAATAAAAAAATTTTTCAAGAAAAACTGTGAATTCTATGGAAATAAATTGAAGATGATATTATTTTAGGCCAGAGCACTTTCGGCACAAACAGCCGAGACTGACGTTGTACGATTTTTGGTTGGAACTCAATCATTAAAATTCAGTAATAATCAAGTGCACTTAGTGGAACTTAATGAAGAAACGTGTAATTTAAAAACACAAGTCTATCAACATCCCATTGGTGAAATATGGTCCTTACAAGCATCTCCCATGGATCCTGACAAATTTGTCACTTGTTACAATACTTTAAACTGTATGTATACAAAATATTCATTACAAAATTCTATGTGAACTTAAATTGAATTGTATTATTACTTAACAATTATTTAGTAAATAATTGATATCGTATTTATTATACAATATTTTCTAAATATTTATTTAATCAACATTTGCTAAATATTCGTAAACAATATTTGCTAAATATTTATTGATCAATACTTGCAAAATAATTATTAAATAATATTTACTAACAATTGGTTTAATATTTACGGAATAATTATTAAACATTATTAAAAAAAGTAATAAAATTACTACCTAAATAATTTTTAAATAATATTTAGTAATAATTATTGTTGGACTTCAATTAATTTTGTTAACGTAAATTTTTCCTAACAGCTGAAGGAGTTTGTCAAATGAAAGGAGCTCTTTGGAAATTGCCAACATTAAACGAATCTTCAAATGAAATTCTAAAACTCGAAAAATTAGCCGATATTGATACAACACCTTATGGAAATGAATTGAAAATAATAGCCTATCATCCTAGCGATGAAACAAAAGCTGTTTCGGTTGTAGACAATAATTTTATACTTTGGGATTTAAAGAACGATAATCCACAGGTAATTTTACTGTAAATCATAATTTACATGCTAAACAATATTTTCAAGTCTAAGTAAAATGAAAGAATTAAAAAAATCTTAATTCTATCTTCTGAATATTATTCTAAAATGCAAATTTTCAAATCAATAATTCAACAAAAAAATGGTTTAAAATTCATGTAAACAAATAGGTAAAAAAACAAAGATTGTTTTTTGTCATTTAAAAATGAAAAATTAATATTCACATACCTGTATTTAAATATAGGTTGTAACTGTAGGAACATCAGGAAAAACATCTCCAAAATTCACAAACGGTAAATGGAATCCACACAATAGTTGCAATCAATTTGTCACATTAAACGAAAACAATGTTCATGGTTGGGACTTGAGAAATCCTTCGGAAATTTCCTGGAATATTCCAAATGCACATTCACAAATTGTCAGGTAATAAATTAAAATTTAAAAGAAAAAAAAATTACTTTTAACACATTTTATAAATTCTAAAAAGAATAAATTTAACAAATTATTTTCTAGAGATTTGGATTTCAACAGTAATCGACAATACTTTTTGTCAACATGTGGCGACGATGGTTACATGAAATTTTGGGACATTCGCATGACCACCGAACCAGTTATATCGAGAATTGAACATTCCCATTGGGTTTGGAATGTTCGAATAAATCGTTTTCACGATCAATTGGTATTAACGTCGAGCAGTGATTCGCGAGTAATTCTTTGCAGTATTGCATCAATATCTTCGGAACCATTTGGACATGTTGTTTCAACAGAGGAAGATTTAATTCAAGGAGAGGAATCATCAACTAAGGAAAAGTAAGTTTTTAAATTTTAATTAATGTTCTATTCTACTATTTAATCTTACTATTTAAAAAGAGAGTCGAAGAGGAGAAATACTTGAAGAATAAGAAAATAAATAAATGGAACTTTTCAGATTGGAAGACGGAGTTGTTGGAAGATTCGAGGAGCACGAGGACAGTGTCTACGCTGTTGAATGGTCGTCAGCCGATCCATGGACATTTGCATCGTTAAGTTACGACGGAAGATTAGTATTAAATAAAGTACCTCGCAAATACAAGTATCAAATTCTTTTATAGAATTGTAAACATTGTACAGAATAAATTTTAGAGTTTAATAATTTTTAGTTGAAATATTTAGAAAAGAAAAATTCCTAATTATCAATTTAAACCTAGAAAACTATTAACATTCTTATTTCTATGATAATTTTTAAATACCTCTTAAATATTAGAACCTTTCAGCCACTCTGCTAGCGACATTTCTCAATTGACCGTAAACTTTCGATGGCGGACTGCCTAGAATTAAATTACAAATTGCTCGCCTCGCCAATTGAATATTTTGATATGAACCGAGAATATGAACTTTCGAGTCTGCCAGAACAATTCTTGTTTTCGTGACATTTTCAATTGTGTATTTTGTCCTTCCACCTTTACCAGCTAATCTACCAATTGCTCTCGATAAATGATCACCCTTCAGCGGTTTCACATCCTGAATTTCAAAACTCTCGACGAAAAGATCGTCGAGACGTAGGAGTGCAAGTGCATCTTCAACCGCGAAGCCGGAAATGAAGGCTTTCACGAAATCGGCGCCTTTTTGCAGATTTGAAATGTCCGGTGTCTCTGACGATGTTCTGAGTTCTACATTTCGACTTTTCAAATTAAAACGTACCTGAAGTTGTAAGTGTTCGACAAGCGGTGTGAAAATCTTAATCCATTCTTGTTTCAGCGGCGAATATCTGTGAGCTGGCACTGGAACCTGTTTGAAAAATGAAAAGTTAATTTAAATAAATAAAATAATTTATACTTATTATTTTATATTTACTATTCTAAACAATTCAATTATTTTTTTAAATAGTAAAATCTTTGCCAAAATTCAATTATTTTCAATAAAATTTCGCAAAAAATTGAAAATATTTAAAAAGAAAAATTTTTAAAAAAAGTTAGGAAACAAAAAAGCATCTATTTTATAATATTTACTTCTTTCATTTTTATGTAAGTTTTGCAATTACCTTCCGGAATTCATCTCCTTCAACGTTTCTCGATTTTTTTGCAGCAGATTTTCTCTTTACTTTTCCTTCAACTCCGTTTACGGTGTCAACCTTAGTGAAAAAAAACAAAGAATTACAATTTGTTGAATTTATCGTTTTGTTATAATAAACATCAACGATAATTAATAACAAATGTTATTGAAAAAATACGAAGAACACAGAAGCAAAACATAACCTCACCTCCATTTGACTTTCGGATTCATGTCTCCTTTTGTTCTTTTTTGATGCTTCGTCGACTTTCGGTTCACCCATATTTGTTAATTATTAACAATATTTCGTTATAAGGGAAAAGGGACGATATATTTTTCTGATAATAATATTATTTACTTGGTCCACGTGCGTTTAAACGGTTTAAACTATTTCGAGTGTTTTCGTGGTTATGAAGATGAACAGGGTTGGGAAACTAAAATGTACATTGTTGACAATCTAACTTGTCCAATAGGACAGTGCCATGTGAACAGACCCTTACGACTGAAAAATGTCCTATTTTGATTTGCTGTTTTCTATGAATTTATGATATATATTTTACTATTTTGTAATTATTTAATTGCAAAAACACAGATAATTGACTAATTAAACAAAAAGAAAATATTCAATATCTAATTTTACATTTCGGACGTTTCATTGTAAACAGGGCTTATTTTTTTAATTACTTTTAAAAGTTTCTGCTCCCTGCTATGCCTCCATCTTGTAAACATCACTGGAGTAATAATTTATTGTTTTGTTATTAATTTATAAAATTCTATTTTATTTCATCAAGTTCGATTGCCAAGGAAAGAACAATCAAATACAGCAAAATATATTGAAAAGACCATGAATCCTAAATGCTTTTATGTTAAATACCTTTTTATTTTATATCGAAAGTGAATTTTGTTTCGAGCTAGAAAATATTAACTATTAATGTCAATTACTTTGATATTATTTAGAAAAAAATTAATTTATGACATAATTTCCTAATTTATGGATTGTGACTAAATAACTAAATAGAACACTAAAAATATTTTGGAAAAAACTTGAAAAAAATTGGTGTCTTCTTTTTGAGTATTTTTGGACAACGCAGTAATAACAAGAAACGTTATTAATAATGAATAATGGATAAAATATTATGGAATGAAAAACATAATAGAATTTTATGGACGAAAGAGACTTTTCTGTAAATGAAGATCTAATTAAAAGCAAAGGATTCAATGAGTAATTTTAGAGGAATTTAAAATACAAATCTTTCAATGGATAAATTGGTATAAATTTATGGAAGATATTTATGCGAGTAAAAACGATGATTAAATTTAAAATCCTTTGTAGAAAGTTGAATTGAATTTGTTATTATTTGTAGGTCAACTAACACACTAATACTATGAATATATTTTTTTATTTCTTCAACAGGTCGTTATTTAAAACATGTTAAATGTGAACTATGGAGAAAGTTAATTAATGGTATTAATAATACAATTTTCATCATAAAATTTAATGAAAAAATATATATATTCTTCTTCAGAATAGAAACATAATAATTAAAAAAAAAGAAAAAAATAAAGTAAAAGTTCAGTCCTTGAATTAATTGTGTCAATAAGTGACCCAGTGTTGAAACATAATCTTTCAATGAACTCAGCAGCATCTCAATTCTCAATTTTGTACTTTTAATTTTTACCGTATATTCTCTACAAACACATAAAAAAAAAGTAACAAAAAAAGCTCAATTTACTCTTTCTTTCTCCTTTTTTGTAATTTTTCCCAAAAAAAGGAAAAAAAATGGAAAGGATAACAAAAATAAAAAAATTGTTTCTAATTATTTTTCTTTTCTTGATAATTTATAATATCTATAAATAAATTTTTTGGTTACTTTGCTTGCAAGTTGTTCGTGTCCGAAAGAAGGGATAATAATCGACTTTGAATTCTGGAAGATGGGAAGTCTCACCACCCATCAGGATCTCGAATCCCCGCCAGGTATATAAAAGTCACCTCTGTCATGATCTCGTGTTTAGTTTCAGAAAGCAGCAGTCATCGCCTCTTTCACAGTGAGCATTTCAATTTTTAACTATTTATTTAATATTATAGACAGAGGTTTTTTATTTCATTTAATTTTGTACTGTTTACTTAATTTATTTATTACTTAATGTTTATTTTTTATTATTTATTTTCTTAATTTATTATTTAACATTTATTTTTCAGTATTTGTTTTATTTAATTACTCATTTAACATTTATTTGTTTAGTATTTGTTTTATGTAATTACTCATTTTATTTTTTTAGTATTTATTTTATTTAATTGCTCATCTAATATTCATTTTTTTATAATTTACTTCATTTAATTGCTTATTTACTTTTTTTATTTATCCCACAATTAGTGATTATAATAATTATTTATATATTTAAATTCTCATTTCTATAAAAAAAATTGTTTCATTATTTCAAACATTATTTGAGTGTTATTAAATTTTGTTTGAATATTTAAAATCAAATCGCTACAAATTAATAACAAATTCAATTATAAATTCATTATTTATACTCACATTAATTCAAATTGTATTCTAATTAAAATTGTGTTGTAAAAATGCGGTTTTAAACAAAAATTGCATCATCAACAAATAAATCTTCATAGATAAAAAATAAAAGGAAAAAATTGCAAAAAAATGTAAATTTAGTTTAATTTACCAATTATTTTGATTTAAAATGAATGTAAATGTTATTACATAACGAATTCAATTAAATGATTAATTAAATAATTAAGTTAATTCAATTGACTAAAATTCATACATTTTCTGAAATTAAATAATATTTAATATAAAAATTATTATAATAAATTATATTATAAATAATAATTATTATAATAATTTACAATTAAAAAAATGATTATAAAATAATAATGAATATAATAAAAAATTATAAATACTAACATAAATTCTATTAGGATTCGATAAAACTTTAATTTGTCAAAGTGTAAACATTTTTAATATTTATTTTTAAGTTGTCAAAGAAACTTTCTCTTGAAAAAGAATTTAAAAGTTTATTTAAACTTATTTATGAAAAATATTTTGTATAGAAAATTAAAATTGCGAAAAAATCTTTGTGAATAATTATAACAATTGTAAGAATAATAATAATAATTAATAATAATAACAATAATAATTAATATATTAATATAATATATTATTAATATTATTATTATTATTATTATTATTATTATTATTATTATTATTAATTATTATTATTATTCACAAAAAGAAGAATTGTTTGTAAATAATTCCTGGCAAATTTGAAAATATTAGAAATATTTACCATTCCTTCTTTAAAAAAATAATAATGTAATAATAATTAATAATTATATAATAAATATTTTAAAAAAACGTAATATTCCAAATAAACAAAAAAAAAAAGAATAAAAACTTTAAATTGAAATAAAAATTTCTTCGTTCCCCTTAGATTGAAAACATTGCGAATTAATTGCATTCATTTATTCAATTTCTTTGGGATCTTTATGAAAGAAAAAAAAAATAAAAAACAAAACAAAAAAGTTACCTTTGATCGGGTTCATAAGAGGGAAAGTTTTAAGCGTCAGTAACGTGAGAAACTTTCAACCGATCTTCTCTCTCTCCTTTGGGAGTAACGGGGATTTGGTGGCAGGGTCAGTCGCCTTTTTTGGTACCAATGACCCCTTTCAATCTCGACAATTCGCTATCCTGGAAATTTGACATTATTAACAAAATAAAATAATAAACAAACAAAAAAATTATGAAACAAACAATGCATTTTTAAATGTCACAAATTGCACAATATTTAATGATCACGAGATAATTACGATCGATCGTTAAAAGTTACGGGGGAAAAAATTATGAAGAAAAAATGAAACATAATTTTAATGACAGTTTTTTATAAGCCAAACGATATTTTAATAAATCTCAGTTTTTAAATTCTGTAAATTTCATTATTAATTATATAAATAAAAACTATAACAAAATTAAAATTTAATTAAATTAAAATTGAGAAACAATTAATCTTTCCAAATATTTTAATTAATTTAAAATGACTAAAAAAAATAGTTAAATTAAAAATGTAAACATCCAATGAATATAATTAATTAATTATTTTCTTCTCTCACTTCTAGGCGAAATATTTGGCAAATAAAAATTCTCCATTGCATTTTTTGTTTTCAGATGAAGATTTACATTGTAGCGGCAGTTGTATTCCTGGCTGGATTGTCGGCGGCTCGTCCCCAATTAAAGGAAGGACAAATGTTCAGCAATGAGGCGATTCGACAAGCGCAGGAAACTTATTTAATTCCAAAGGATGCTGCGATACAAAATGTTCAGGAGAGTCATGAATTGCGCGCCTATGAATCAATTCCCGGCAATCAGAGAATTAATTTATTTGAAATTTTAGGCGATCAAGTGCCACCCGAGGTCGTTAATAATCTTCAAAGTCAAATCGATCAAATCGGAAAGAATAAATAAGAATTATTTTTATTTATTCAATTTCGCTGATTAATTCGTTACTATCATTTTTGTTGTTTTTGTGATTATGACGTTATTTTAAGTGATGTATATATAAATTTAATTTTTTTACACTTTTTTAAAATAAAAAAAATTTTTACAATAATTGGATGTGGAAATTATTTGATTGTCAATTATTCATTAAAAATATTCGATAAAAATGTTTATTACAAATATATTTACTAGAAATATTTATTACAAATATTTGCTAAAAATATTTATTTCAAATATTTGCTAAAAATATTTTCTAAAAATATTTATTTCAAATATTTGCTAAAAACATTTATTTCAAATATTTGCTAAAAATATTTATTAAAAATATTTGCTAAAACTATTTGCTGAAAATAGTAATAGTAAAAATATTTGTATTAACAGTTAAAAAAAATATTTCAACGATTTTGAATTTTACTTTTGGATTATTTTTTCTCAATAAATTGCGGCTCTGAAAATAAATTCTGACTTAAAATTGAAAATAGTGACTGAAAAGAGAAGTTGATTTTCGAATAAATTGGGACAATTACAAGATTAACAAAGAACATTTTTATGAAACTTAAAAAAAAGAAAAGAAAAATTACGTATGCAATACATGACATGTTCGAGAGAAAGTGACTCAGTGATAAATGGAAAAAGTGAACTTTCACTTTTCATAGATTCACCTTATTATTAAGCAACTTCGTCTTATTTTTGTCGATTACTTTATTACGTGGGGGGGACACAAGAGCATTAAGAATCTTTACATAACACTTTATTCATCGGCCATTAAAGAGAAAAACAAAATTGCATATCGATTATTATTTTTGCATTTCAACATTTTGAATATATTGCACCCATGTTGTTTGAATTTTAAGTCTATTTTTTTATTTTTCTATTTTCCTTTTCATTTAATTTATATTTTCGTTTTTAATTTAAGTCATCTTTAAAAAATAAATTTCAAGCTGAAATAATTTTTGCTACTACAAAAAGAGTAAAATTTCGAATATCTATTCATGTTTTTTCTTTTTTATTGAAAATATCCTGGATCAACATTTTTTTTTTTTTTTTTTGAAGAAAAATAATTAAACTTTGTATATTAATACAGAAACATTAATTAAGAAAGAAAATTAATGTATCGAATAACTTATTTAAACGAAATGACGATTACAAAACTTAATAATAAGTAATTTTTAAATAAGATTAAAAACTATTTTTCGTTAAAAAATTCGTATTTGAAAAGAAACCTAGTTTTTTTAATTTGTGCCACTGAAATTTCAACAGATAAAATTGTAGATTAAATTTTCGTACAAAACAATGTTAATTTCTTGTAGAAATTTTTCTTTTTATAATATATTTTGTATCCGACGTATACATGGAGAAAAAAAATGAAATTCGTTAAATAATTTGAGTTGACGACTTTGCTTTTTTCAGCACGTTAAAAAACAATTTTTTATAGAAAATTGGTTTGTTTTCCTTTCATTATTTCTTGTATCGTTTTTTTCTTTTTGAGTAATCCCTTTGATAGTTCTAAGATTAAAATTAAATTATTCAAATAACGCTAATTGTACCGATTGAGTACAAACGCTATACAAGTATTCTTGTGGTATTCATTGAAAGCAAAAAATAAACTGCAACTTCCAGATTGCATGGAAATAAGAAAACCACTTAAGTTTTTAAACGTTTTTTGAATAAAAAAATAATTTGAACTGTTGAAAATTGTCTTTTTCTGTTTTTGTTTGTTTGTTTATCTATCACTGTTCTCACATTCGGCCCGCACTTTATTTCCTGAAAAAGCAAAATATTTTCATATTTATTCTAAATTATTGTTTATTTTTTTTTGCATTTCTATTAAAATTTTTCATTAATTTCTTTTTCTTTGTGAATGAAATATTTTTTTACAATGAACAACAAAAAATTACTTTGAAACTAATTACTAATTATGGTAAATTTACATATACTGAAATACACTATTCGAAAAACATTTCAAAGATAATTATACATCGTAAAAAATTTGCATTATTAGGAACATGGAATTTCAAGTTAAATTTCAAGCATAAAAGTCGAAATTTGCACTACGTACTAATTAGAATTATGAAACAAAGTTTTTTTTGTAAGACTTTCTTCAAGACAAAGATTATCATTAAAATTCTTTCGATTTAATATATTGTTAAAAGCTATTAAAAATTTGCATTAAAAAAATTGGAATCCCACAGAAAAGTATTTATATACTTCGAAAACAAAGAATTTGACAATTAATATATGAAAAAGGATAAAATATCGATCGATATTGAAAATAATTCTAAGTATGTCAATAAAAATGAAACAGAAAAAGAAATTAAATTAAATTGTAAATCATTAGAAGTGTAAGCTTTCGAAAATTTAATTGTTTTCTAGAATTTTTAATTAAAATTCTTCTCTAAATCAATTATTTAAAAACAAAATTTGAAAACATTAAATTATTAACTAATTTACTAATTAGCTATTTATTGTTTTCAAAAACTTTAATAAAACTCTTTGCAAGAAATTCAATTATTTTATAAAATTTTGATTAACTTTATAAGAATTGAAATGTTTTCAATACAATTTAAATTAAATCCATAGAAAAAATTCAAGTATTTTTAAAAATTTTAATAAAATTCTCTGCAAGATTTTTAATTAGTTTCATAATTTATAAAATTTTTCGCATGAATTTAATTATTTTAAAGAAATTTAATCAAATTCTTCAAAGAAATTCAATTATTACTTCGGAAAATTTTGATAAAATTATTTAAGTTTTGAATTATTTTTATAATTAAATTCTTCGCAAGAAAAATAGAAAATTGAACTTTTGTTTCGGTTAAGTATCGGCTAAACGTAAAAAAAATTCTAAATTAATTAAAGAATAAAAATTATTGGCTCACCTCGATTTTTTGGAACTTTTCCTATCGCCACTATCGTCACGTGAACGTTTCTTGCTATTCGACGATGAATGAGAAGATTTACGTTTATCGTGCTTACTGTTCTTGTCATGCTTATCATGTTTACTGCTCCTATCGTGTCGATCATTCTTCTTTGGACTACATCGTGAAAAAAAATCGGAAAAAGAAGAAAAAAGAAAAATTAATTTATTACATGAATATAAATAATTTCATCATTATTAATCACCTGTGTTTGGACGATTTGGATGGAGATTTGTGTGATCCTCCACTCCGAGATCGATCCGTTCTTTAATAATTATTACATTTCAATTTATTTTAAAACTTAAATATTTTAATTTGAAAAATGAAAAAAACCAAGAAAAACTAGAAATCGAAGAAAATAAATCATTCAAATTAATCGTTGGATTAATTTGAGAATATAAAAAAAGAACCAGTGATTTTGTAATAAATATAAAGAAAATAATTTATAGAAAATAAAAATTAAATTTCAATAAAATTAAATTCACCTGTGTTTGTCCGACGATCTTCTATCCTTGTCTCTGCTGTTTGATGAACTTTTACTTTTCGAATTTGATGAACTTTTGTGCTTCGAGTTATGCCTTCGATAAAAAAAAGGAAACGTATATTAATTTAATTTAAATTTGATTTCATAATTTAATTTAAAATTAGTTTCTTTATTTCATTAATTAAATTAATTTTACTAAATGTAAACAACTTTAATTTAATAAATTTAAAATTGATTTTCAATTGATTTCAATTAACAAAAATTGAGTTAAAAAATTATTTAAAAGTTTTACTTTCTCTTGCTTTTTAAAAATATTACGCAATTTATATCCGGTTTTTAGTTTAAAAAGAAGAACAATTTCTTCACTTTCTTTCTAAAAAAATAAATAATATTTAATACTTTGATTTCTACACACCTATCCTTTGATGATGAATGATGATCCCGTGATTTTTTCTTATTTGTTGAAGTATATTGTTCAACATATTCTCCACGTTCCTTGTCTTCTTCGGCGGCTTCTCTCTCTAAGTCTGACCAATCTTTACCGGATTCTTCAGAACTTCCAAGATCATCATCTGAAAATTAAAGTATTTTCGTATTATTATTATTCTTCTTATTATTTGAATTTAACTTTTGAAATTAAAAATAATACCTTCACCACTTTCAGAATCTTCAGATGCCTCCGAGTATTCTGATTCATCCTCCGATTCTTCCTCGCTTTCAATGTCAGTTGGCTGGAAAAGAAGAAAACAATGAGAAAAAAAAGAAAATTAATAAGTTTATAACAATTGAAATTTAATTATTTAATTGTAAAATTTAATTATTTTATTGTTTAAAAAAAAGCAATAAAGTGATAAAAAAAAGGACAAAGATTATTACTTCGTAAGCTTCATCCTCGTCTTCTTCTTCATCCTCTACTTCTTCCTTTTCATTATCACTATCGGGATCCAAAAACGACCAGCCGCCAGTCTCGAAAAATTCTTCTGGATTCTCCGTAATTGTTTTCATAATTTTTCCCCAATTCAATGACTGTACACCCTCTGAATATCGAATGTCGCACGAACTATCAAAAATAAATTATAAAATGTTTAATTTCAGAATATAGAAATTTTGAAAATTTATTTTAAACAACAAGATATTTATGCTTTTAAAATAAATTTTGAAACTAATTTATTTTAAGAAATTATAAATTCCGTGATAAATAATTTCTAAAATTATTCTAGGATAACTAGAAATTCTAGGATAAATTTCTTATTTAATAATAATTTATAATATTTATCCTATACAATAATGACATTCAATAGATAATTAAATTTTAGAAAAAAAAATTGTTATTAAATTACAATTTAATTGATTGTATCTAATAATTACTGGTATGTAGGGAAAATTTGTAGATTTTAATACGTACTTGAGCCATTCTTTGACGTGATCTAACATATGCATGGGAATAGCATTGACCATTGCTGTTTTTTTATGATAATCCTTGAAAACAAAGATCATATCGAAATTTTTCAAGTGGAATTGAACTCTCTCAAAGTGAACAAGTTCAACGTCTTCGAGTGTAATTACAAATGGAGGCTGAAATAGAAAAAAATTTGCTTTTAATTAAAGTAATTTTTATTGGTTAAAAAGAATAATTAAATTACTACCTATATTAAAAATTATTATAATTATTATGATAAAATAATAGGAAAAATAAAAAGAAATGAAAAAAAGTATCAAGAAGTAAAAATAGTTATAACAAATAAAAATACTGTCAAGAAATAAAAAATAGTAACAAAAAATGAAAATAATAACAAGAAATAAAAATAGTAACAAAAAATAAAAATAGTAACAAGAAATAAAAATCAACAAAAAAATAAAAATTGAATTTCTGCGAAGAATTTTATTATTTAGCCAAAGAATGACATTTTTTCAATGCATTTTAATTGAATTGTTTTGTTATAAAGAATTTTACTGAAATTTTTCAAAATAATAAAATATTTACTAAGAATTTTATTAAAATTCTTTAAAATAATGAAATTTCTGCAAAAAATTTGATTAATTATGAAAATAATTCAATTCTCATAAAATAATTCTATCAAAATTTTTCAAAGTAATTGATTTAGTGTGAAGAATTTTATTAAAAGTTAGTAAAATAATTAAATTTCTGCGAAAAAAATTTATAAATTTATTAAAGCAATTGAAATCTTGTAAAGAATTATATATTTAAATTTTCAAAAATAATTAAATTTTTTCTAGGAATTTAATTAAAATTCTATTGAAAATATTTTAATTCACATAAAGAATTGAATCAAAAATTTTTCAAAATAATTTAATTCTTTTGAGATATTTTATTGAAACTGTATTGAAAATAATTGAAATTCCTGCGAAGAATTTTATTAAAATTTTTTAAAACAAATAATAATAATTAATTAGTTTTGTGCGTAATGACAAGTAATAAAAATATTAATAAAAAATTAAAAGTGCAACAAGAAGTAAAAATTAGTATCAAAATAAAAATTCTAACAAAAAGTGAAAATAGTAAATGATAAAATTTTCCTAAATTCCAAATAGATAAAAAGAAATATAATTACCCATTCTGTGAGATTTACAAGACAACCACTTGTTGGTTGTAAAAGAACAGTGCTTCTGTATGGTGCACCAGGAAATCCAAGTTCTCTGAATGGAGTATCGAATTCAATTTCCTGCTTCGTCAAACTCTCAACCTGAAAAATTAAATTATTTCAAGCAAAAAAATGAATATACTTCGTACAAGAATAAAATAAAATCAAATACAAATAATGAAAATAAGAATAGAATAAAATAAAGAGAATGCAAAGAAAAGTGTTTAAAATAAAAGTAAAAAATAAATACATAGATGGATGAAAATTGTACCTTTTCACAAAAGCTCTTAAATGCAGTTTTTAATTTGTGCCTCAATTCTCGTTCTGATTGTTCCGCGGCAAGATCGTCACGATCATGCATGTGTTGATGCTTTCCAAGATCTGTTGTAATTTCTCCCACTTCCGTGTAAAATTGTACATCCACGTGTTTCTTTTTACCAAACATGATGGCATGCTAGAAAAAAATAAAAGATTCTCTTTCAAATTCTGTGCTTGCTAAACAAAAATATACGTTAAATAATTTATTTCAAATTCCTGTTTGTTCTTGCAATGAAAATCTGAGGATTGATTAAATGAAAATTATAATTTTAGATTTTAAATTTACAAATAAAAATTTGATTCAAATTTTAAATAGTTAAAGTCATATGTTCAATTTAAATTTTAAATTCAAATATTAAAGTCGAATGTTAAATTTAAATATTAAATTCAAATATTAAAGTGAAATGTTAAATTTAAATGTTAAATTCAAATATTAAAGTCAAATCTTAAATTTAAATGTTAAATTCAAATATTAAAGTCAAATGTTAAATTCAAATTCAAATATTGAAGTCGAATTTTTAATAAAATTTAGAAAATAATACCTTCAAGTGAAAATGAAGAAGAATAATCATTTCACCGTCACAGGGTTGAAAGAAGGCGTTTTTAATATTATTGTAGAGAATATCGACTTTGTCGCCTCTCACGGAAGTGTAACGGAAACCATTCGTGTGTGCCTCAAGTCCACCCGTCATTCTTTTCGTCACAATATTTGGCCGAATATACAAATCCTTAAGTTTTGGGTTACCTTTATTCGGCGATAGAATCAGTGTATCTTGTTTAACAAGATCCTCTTTTTCCTTCTCCTCAGCTTCTCGATTCTTAAATTTCTTTTGTACTTCCTTGATTAATCTAAACGCCGTACTCAAATTTGACGAAGGAGCTGAAATCTCGCCGGGTTCTTTGGTATTCGTACTCCGATACGTTCTAAATAATCCCAAAACAATTTTAAAAACAAAAAAACAAGTCTTTTGAGTTTCATTTTCAAAAGGTTAATTTTTTTTCATTTCTCTAAAATACTCACACTTCTTTAACAAAAGTGGCGTCTGGTTGTGGATAAGTTCCACCTTCGTTACGTCCCATTGTTGCTCCAGGATGGAAAAAGTTTATTCTAAGATACGTGTAATCTCCTTCGACTGATTGCGATATATTTTTTATCGTTGATATGTGGAATGGTACGGGATACGAATAAATTGGCAAAATTACGGTTTCGTACTTTTTATCTAGAAAACAATTGAAAGTAGTAATTATTTTCTTTTATTATTAAGAATTAATTAAAAAAAAAAACTCTTTCGTAACTCACCAACGTAAAGTTTCAAATCGGATACTTCCGGTTCTCTAGGCATATGATTGGTCGACTTGTAAGAAACTGTTGATTTACGTATTTTCTCTTGCTCCTTAGTACCGGATTTTTGAGCCAATCGCGCTTTCGCCGCTTCATTAAGTTGCTGGGCCAATTCCTTTTGATGCTGTTTACGTTTCTCTTCAGAACTATGCTCGGTTCTTAATTTTGATTCAATGACGGCTGTTCTTTTACCTCTTCCCAAAATCTCCTTTTGTTTTGTTACTTCCGGTTCACTCTCCTCACCATCTTCATCATCGTCTTCCTTAAATGTTATTCCGATATTCTTCACCTTTTTCTTCGACGGTGTCAAGATTGACGCCGGTTGTTCCTGCGAAAAAAAATATTATTAATAAATAGCAAATTGTAAATTTCGATTCATTTACATAAAAAAAGAAATTTACATCATTGACCATAACGGTATCGCCAATAAAAAGCGCATAGATCTTTCCTTCCTTTTCCTTAGCGTCCGGATTACTCAGATTTGAAAGGCCAACGTTGACATTAAAAACCATTCCCTTTCTTGCGATGGCGTTAGTTTTTGGTCCCAACAGAAGAGAACTTTCTCTGAATTCAATGCCCATTGCAAAACCAAAATTTTTCGTTAAATGATCCAACATCGATGGTTTTTGATCCTTTACGAATTTCACACCAGTGTCATAAACATCGCTTAATTTTGTTCCCGTTGTTAGTTTCTTTAAAATCTCCTCTTCCAATTGTAGCAAAAAATTGTAATTTTCCTGCAAAAATAGTGCAAAATGGAAAAATATTTATAAAAACGAAATAATAAAGGGATAAAAATGATAATTAAATTGATTATTCACCTCAATTGTTTTTGTTGGATTGACTAAAATTGTTCTGACAATATTTGAACAGTATGACTTGTATCTTGCGCCGAGGGAACACACAATTACACCAAAATGAAGTACATTTTTATCACTAACGACACTGAATTTCAGGGAATAATGCCCACCACTCTGAATAATTGCGGGATAACACATATCAATTTGCGAGACATCAACGCTGCTCACGTATTTGTCATTTGAAATAGCGGCGTCGACACCTTCTGCAAGTTTCGAGTGTTTCACTTTCTGGAAAAATAGAAAAAAACAATTCACTTAATATTTTCCACATCAGGGTTGATACAAAAATTTGATTTTATTTTTTCCCTATCCCTTCACTAATTTTTATTTTCCCTGACTTTTCACTGAATGCCCTAATTTTTCTGATTTGTGTAAAACCACAAATCTGAAGATGTAGAATGTAGGAATATTTTCATTTAATTCGCAAAAAAATGGTAGAAATAATAAATTTTAATACTTGAAAAGTGGAAATATATAAAAGTACCTTATCTGAGTCGATAATTTCCATAATTTGCTCCTTCAGGTACTTCATGAAGACGTCGACAGACACGAGACAAGCTTTTTTTATTGTGAGAATTTCAATATCTTCCTTCGGGCACATAATATAAGCAGCTGCCGCACTAACGTCGACCTTAAGAAAGAAATTCGCCATAAATGTAATTAAAAACAATGTTTCTAAAATAAATATTACTATTCTAAAAATGGAAGAATAAATATATTTTTTCCTACGGTATCAAAGGACTCGTTTTTCAAAGCAGCTCGCCATGCGTCCATAAAAGCTCCTGGATAATTTTCCTTCGAAAATACGCCCAACATTTTACCCTTTTTACTCTCCTTGATAACTTCAATTAATTTTGCAAAATTTGCTTTATCTTCGTCCGACTGAAAAAGAGGAAAAATTCCTTTAATTTTCAAATATTTCAAAGCTATAAACGATTCAGTAACAAATGAAACTTACTCTATCCCTCACGAGAAGTTTAACAGGTGGAATTTCACAATCTTCGCTTTTTAAACCTTCGACCTTTCTCAAAAATTCAATCTTTTTCTTACTGGCCAAAAAGTAGATGGATTCCTTAGCCAAGATCATTATAGTATCCGTGAGCTCGTAACTCAAGAGCCATGTCTATTAATTAAAGAAGAAAAAAATCATTACACGAAAAAGGAAAAATTAGAAAAGCAATAAAGAAAAAATATTCACTTGAAGTGCCGTGGATTTACTGTAAACAATTTCCTCATCAGTGCCAACGGCAGAGACGAGACAATCCATTTTACTGAAACTGTCATCGTGGAGAGAATTTCCATCCTTAAAAAAAGCAGAAATATAAAATAATAACACTTTTAACAAAAGGAAATAAAAAGTTGAATGTTAATTATCATTTACTAATTAATTACCTTCCATGCGGCATAGAGACGCTTCATGCGTCGAATAAATGTTTCTTTGTCGAGTGATACGTTAGCCATAATTTGTTTTTAGGTTGTTCACCGCAAGCACGCGGTTCAAAATCACACACGAAAAATTATGTTAACTCCAAGAACAGACTGATAAAATTAATTAGCAACGAAATAATTAATGGCAAGCTCAATCTCGATACAATGAAATTTACATTTTTCTCTATAATTTCGTAATGAAAAAAATATATATTTTGTGTGATCAATTTACGCTTCACGGCTTCCACCTCGCGTGTTGTATATTAGGAGATGGCTATGAACAGAATGGCGGGATTTTGTAAATTGGAATCTTATAAGTACTAAAGCGTAATTCACACTACCTTTTTTAAGAGAGAAAAAACAAAGACAGTCGAAAATTGGGAAAACAAGAGAAAAATTCTTGTTAAAAAGAACTAAACAGGAGATTTATAAACAAAAATCATTGACTTAATACAAAAAAGAGGAAAATATAAATTTTCAATTTTCTATTTATCAAACTTGTAGCTTTTGCATTTTTCCCTTCTATTTTTGTCCGGAAGTTAATTTTGCGAAAAGTGACAACTTCAGGTTGCAACTTTACGCTTCCTACCGTCCCAACCCTGATGGGAGTAATATTTTAAGGCGACTTTTCATGAAACTCATTTGTTTATGTTGATAGTTTGATTTTTAAATGTAACGTTAAAATCAGTTAACATGTATTTTCTATTTTACCTTTTTTAATTTATTTAAATAGTAAAGAATGGTTTAAATATTCTCTCTTCTGTTGAATAATAATTTTTGAATCGTTATTGTTAATAATATTATTGTTATACCCAGTGGTGCTTGTTGTGAAAAAAGAGAGAGAGATAATAATAAAATTGCATATAACCTCTAAATATTCTTATTAAGAAAAGTATGGAAACAATGGAAACAAATACAGGGTAAATATTTATTTAAAATTAATAAATTATTTAAATTCTTAATTAATTAAAATTAAAATACATTCCTTATTAAAAATCTATATTAATAATCGTTGTATTCCGTTAAATATCTTTCTTTTTCATCAGATCATTGAGAACTCCTGAAGAATTAAGTGAATTATTTCAATTGGCAAAATTAAATGAATTGGATTTAAGCAATGTGACGCAAATTTTATATTCAGAGAAAGCAAATGACTTTTCAGATATTAAATTAATTGAATTGGATAAAGAATTGTTGAATGCAATAGAAGTAGGTGATAGGTAAGATCCTTTATCACTTTTGGTATTTATTTAATTTATTTATTTACTTATTTTTAAGTAATATAAAATATTACTTAATCATTTTGTTATAAAATGAAACAAATTTATTTCAGTTTGTCATTTCGGGGTGAAAAGGATGATTCAGTCGTTTTATGTACAAAAAATAAAACGTACGATGTGAGGGACGCCGAAACATCAAATGCTGTAATTCTTGTACCAAATTTAAAATTTCACTCGGATTTAAATAATTCTTTGAATGAAAATAAATCCATAGTGCCGAGTGAAGTTCATGGAATATTTCACTCCTATCTCGAAGTAATTCTTTCTATATTTTAATAAAAATTAATAAATATTTTATAATATAACCTATTTTTATAAAAAAAAAATATATTTAATTTCTTATTACAATTAATTTTAATATTATTATTCTTTTAATACATATTTACAATTAGTTTAAGAATTAATTACTTTCTTCAAATTTTTTATTTGAAATTTTAACTTTTTTAATTTTTTCGTGATTGAATATAATTTTAAGTTAATTTAATATTTGTGAATATATTATTTAAAAAATTGTAATAATTGCAATTTTAGGTGCGACAATGTAAACCTAGATTTAGTAAAATTCCCGTAATATTAGGGCCAACTACTTTCAATGGAACGGAATATGAAAAACGTGTTAATCAAAGAGAATTGTACGATTGGAATAAACTTCGATCTCATATTCAAGCTAGTGATGAAGAATTGATTAATGCTCTCTCACAACATTCAGTTGTAAATATAAATGGTGAGATTTATTTTATCTTTATTTTTATTTATACTCTTACTGTATTTATTCTTACTATTGATTTTATTTATTTACACTTTTTTTATTTATTCTTATTATTGATTTTATTTATTTATTCACAAGTCTTAATACATTTAAAAATAACTCAACTCATGAAAACCGTAAATTTTTAAAGTCATTAAGAAAATTTCTTTCTTTTTTTCAGGACATTATCGAATGGTGTCGTTTGAATATGAAACACGTGCCTTGACAAATATGTTAGAATTTGTCGATGAGAATTCAATGAATGAAGATGAAATTGATAGAGAAGCAACTTTAGATGCCTTACGTGAATTAATTCCCGAATCAGTATTTCATGCAATTTTTGAAAAGTACACTGAGCCTAGTGGAAAATTGAAAAAAACCGGTGAACTTTTATACAGGTTTGAAAAACAATTCAAATAGTAAATTTTCTAATTAGAAAATTAAAAAATTTGTTTTTACGCTTTTCATTTTATTTTTTTTTACGTATATTTTATGTCCCGCAGTCTAGTATTTGGAAATATTTTCCTTATAAATAAAAACAAAATTATTTTCTTATATTGAAACATGGATTAAAATTATTTCTATAATTAAAGTTTATTAAATTAAGTCAAATTTATAAAAAAAATTGATTTATAATATAATAAAGTTGTTTTTGAATTTTCGATTTCTTTTGCGACTTTTTTTAATAATAAAGTATAATTTTTATTTTTTATCATTTACAGATATATTGAGGAAAAAGTTTGTAGACTTCTAGCTCAAGTTTTGCTCACAGCGTCGCCAGTTACTGAATATTCTGGATTTATGGAGGCTTGGAGTATCGGAACACCCGATGGTAATTCTCAAATATCCAAATATTTTTTCTCTCTACATTTTTTTTTTTTTGAAGATATTTCTTTCTTTTGATACTTGTTTTACATTTTTAATTTACTGATCATTTACAATTTAATGTAAGCTAAATTCCTATTGAAATAAAAATACAAATTACATTTTTCAGGAATGAAATCAGAGGAAAAATATTTATATGGAATAGCAATTGTTAAATGGAACCGTGAGAAAAATAGAAAAGAAATTATTTCTTATCCAGAATCGAATTTGCCTGATAATATTGAAAAGAGAATTGAGGAACTTTTTAAAGTCAAGGAAAAGTGGACAATTGATGAAATATCGCCTTACATTATGTAAGTTCTCACAAATTAATATTAAACAAATATTTTCCAAGGTTTTTTTTAAATGGACGAAATTCTAATTTAATGCTTTAAAGATTAAAAATTAATTAAACCAAATTGTTTTCAATTATAAACATTTCGTTTATAATTTTGAATCTAAAATAATTGAATTCTATTGAGAAATTTTATTGAAATTGTATTGAAAATAATTGAATAATTTTTTACCAGAAATTTAGCGACCGAGAAATTGAATGTGAACGCTCTTTTGACAAAATACGCGAGATTATCAAACAAAAACGGTGTGAGATTTTACAGTTCAAAACATGGAAAATAGGAGAATAAATTTTAATTGACAGAAAACATCACACTCTTCATTTGATGAAATCATACAGGTAATTTATTTTTGTCTACAATATAGTTTACATTTACACAAATTTACAAATATTTGTCATTGAGAAATACAATTGAGAAATACATATCATAATAATTTTATCTCTCCCGTTTGTTTTTTTTTCTCGACAGGGAGTAGACAAAAACTCCAATCAAAATATTTTAATCACTATAGAATCTGTAAATTAAAATTACAGTATTTTTTTTCTTTTTTTTTTCTTCTTTTTTCTTTGATGTCTAAAACGAGATAGCATCAATTGAATTTGCCACAGCCAACTCAATTTTACAGAAATAAAATAGGACTTTAAATATATGTATGTAAAAAAAACAATATAACTTTCTTAAAATGCTAGTTATTCATGAAGAAAATTTATACATTTTGTCAAAATGAACTGACGTATTGTCCATTCATAAAAATTCTTAAAGATAAAAAATTTCCTTTCTGATATGACTACCTTTTTAAATTACTATTTTTTCTTTTTATATCCAAATATACTAGTTAATAATTAATAATAACAGGAGGTTGTCTAGAAATTTACTAAAATCAATTTCATTTTTAATTTTTAAATTTCAAATATCTTCGATATTCGAATTCATTATAAATGAATAATTAGAATTTTTTACCAAAATTTTTGAAAAATTACATATATAATTCTTTTCATTATAAATAATACTAATAATTATTTATATTGTAAAAAAATTATAAATAGTAAATTTTTTGGTAAAAATCTTATCCTCGTTTATAAATAATTAAAAATCGAATATCAACAAAAATATTACATATCTAATACATATTTTTCTGAGCAATTATAGAAACTTAATAAATGACTTGTGTCTTTTTTTCTATATTAAAAAAAAGAAAATCTTAACACTAATGAAACTAGCAAATGTTGTTTTTTTTTGAGTATTTTAATTGAATACCTTTTTTGTATAATTATGTTTATGCATGGAATCATGTAAAATTTGATGATTTACGAAAAATGGAATATTTACAGTTTCGTGAAATTTTTTTTTATTATTTGTTTTTTTTAACACGATAGCAGCGTTGATATTATGGAAAAAAATTTTTTCAAGCGTCTAATTAGGAAGAATGCTGCTTGTATTTTTTCTTTTAGTCACTGAACTTATTTTTCTACTGCGAATTTTTTTTTTGTGACTTGGCACAAATATTTTTCTTATAGTGTGCGTAGCGTATATATTTTTTTTATATAAAAACTCGAGTTTTTGCAGCTTATAAATAAAAAATTATTCACATTTTTCTAGAATGAAATTATTTCGTGAAGATTTCAATCTTCGAAAAAATAAGGAAAAAATACGGAATAAATATTTGTTTCTCTTCTAGAAAAATGTGGAAGATTATATATTTTTTTTATTTAAGGAAACACTAAGAATATCTATGCTGCACAAAAGGCGTTTTACTCAGGAACATAACGACTAGAGATGTGCAATTTTCATTTTCAATTAGAGTTAAAATTCGATTAAAATTCGTAATTTTAATATTTTGAAAATGAAATACATTTTCGAGTGAGTTTTCTTAAAAAATTTTCAAAATTAAATCGAAAAATAGGTAAAAACTCTTACTGAGAGTAAGATAATAGTTAAAAATTCAAAAATTGTTTTTTTCGAAATAAAATTTGTTATAAGTATTAAATTTAAAAAAAATTTATTGTAAAGACTCGAAAATTCGATGCCCATCTCTAATATCGAATTCTTAAATTGTAATTCTATCTTTTCCTTTCTTTCTCCCTTTTTTTAAAAATCTTCTTTTTTATCTCTTTCGACAACCATAAAATTGTAAAGTGGATTTTTTCTTTTACAAAATAGCTGAAAAATATTTCGTAGGAACTAACGCGTCAAAAAACATTTTCCACATTTTACAAAACATTCTGTATAAACGCCACAAACTTGTACATTTATATAAAAAATTCCATCTAATAATAGTTTAATTAAAAATAACATTCAGTCCCATTTTTCTTCTTTTACACTTTTTCTCTCTTTTCAGTTCGTAGAGTAAAAAAAAATGTCCGCCCAGAAAAAATCGTAATATTCTTTTATTCGATTGAAATTTTAAAAAAATTTAAAACATTTTTTTCTGAATAGAAACAAAATTAAAATTCTCCTTTGCTTTCAATTTAGAAAAAAAAATTTTTCCTGAAATTTTTCAAAAATAAAAATTTGTTGTCATTATATTAATTACTGTACTTTTTTCCATTCTTTCGATAAATATCTAATATAGAATCAACTTAGGAGATGACATAGACCTAAAACCGTAAAACTTTCAACGACAGCAACAATTTTTTTTCCTTTCTTTCTTTTCGTAAAATGCTTTTTTCTTTCTCAGAAACAAAATCCAGGACAATGAAAAATCTTTCTTTTGCCCCTGAAATTTATATTTTATATATAATATTTATATACTAAACTAGACTCGTTTGTGTCAGTCCGCATTCGAGTTTGGTACATCATCGTTTTAACAAAAAAAAAAAAATATTAATAACTGTACTTCCTAAAGCTTTGGAGTGCTGATTTCGATACAGTACACACTAGTTTTTTTTTATAACTTATTATCTAAAGACACGATCTACAAATAACGAATACTGTCCTATTAAATAAGTACGTTTTCAAGAAAAATGATTTACGTCTTGAAAATAAAAAAAAAATTCTGAAAATTATTCAATTTGAAAATAATTAAAATTGTGTCGAATTTTCAATATTGAGGTAATTAAATAAAAAAATGGAATCGTTATGGAAATTTAAAATTGTACTCATCGCGCGCTTCCTTGTTGCTAGCTCTCTTGTTGCGATTCATTGACAACTTTATTATTCAACGCAAAAACTGATTGCGCGACTTCTGACGATAATGTTGTGCTTGGATGAATTATTGGCGCTTTCGTTTGAACTATATTACAAGAGACTGGAACCATTGGTGGGAGATTGACAGAATTTCCAGTGCCAATTGATAGAGAGGGACGTTTACGTTCAAGACTATTTGTTGCCATTTGTCTGCGTGTCGTTGAATTTCTCTCGAGACTATTTGTCACCATATGATGACGTCTCTCTAAACTTGAGACTGCACTCGAGTCCGATTGACTGTCCTGTAATTTTTCTATTTGTAAACTCTGATTTTCTTTTTAAAAAGAAAAAAACTAGAAAAATAGAAAAAAATCATTTAAAAACAAGGGAAAAAAGTAAAAAAAAGTTGAATAAAATAATAAAAAAAGTTAAATAAAGTATCAAAAAAGTAAAAAAAAAAAAATAGAAAAAAATAGAAATAAGTAGAAAAAAATGGTCTCACCTGCAATGAACGATCAACTGATTGACCCATACGATGCAAGACGTCGCCACTCTGACTTTGTCGGAAGGTGTGAACTTGTCTCTCACTCGACTGACTTCTCCTAAGAAGATGTTCGCCCGACTGACTCGAGCGAATTCGATTCTCGGGCGTTGAACCTCGAATGAAAGTGTCATTTTGCCTTTGACAAATTTGATTGTCAACGTACGGATAGCGTATTCGAATCGAATCAATCACGTCCAAGAGATTTTTTGCGTCCATCGCCAGAACGTGTGCCGCTGACAGCATTCCCCTTTGGAAAAGAAAATCAAAATTTATTCCATAATTATCAAAAATAAAATTAATTAAATTAATTATTAACGTCGAAGTTAATTGTTTTCAAATTGTAGAAAAATAATAAAACGAAGAAATTCGGACAAATCAATTCTGAGTGAATATAGTCTTCGAATTCTCTGGAAAAATAAATAAATAAAAAGATAAAAGATGAAAAATATGGAAATAATTGAGAGATTCAACTCACTTTCGATATTCGGCGTCGAGAGTTGTTGCACTATAATTTTGAGCGAGTCTCAAGGAGGAAACAAGTTCCAGCATGTCCTTACTGAGAACCTTGTGGGCCATTTCAACTTCTCGATGAGCAGAAACTGGTAGAATTTCGACTAGAATGTCTACAGATGAAAGAAGTGATCGTAATTCGATTCCTACTCTTCTCACTAGTTCCAAATATTGGTCCGCTTTACTTTGTTGAACGCCTATGAAAATGAAAAGTCGGAAAATTAAAATAATATAAATTGTAAATAATAAGTTAATTATAATCTAATCAAAGGGGTTTTCTCGTTACCTTGTGATAAGGACATTACAGCTCTAACCACACATGTTGTACAGTCATAAACTTTATCATTGGTTCTATCGAGATCTGCAGTTGGCGTTGGTTCCATTTTCTAGAAAAAAACAAAAATCAAATAATTTCAAATAAATACAAAATTATCGAAATTTTGAATAATTTAAACAAAATTATTCAAAGTAATTTAATTTCTGTGAATAATTTCATGAAAATTCATTAAAATAATTTAATTCCTGCGAAAATTTTTATAAATTGTAAAAATAATAGAAATATTGCTAAGAATTTTGTTAAAATTTTTGAAAATATTTGAATTTTTTCGAGGAATTTAATTAAAATTGTATTAAAAATATTTTAATTCTCGCATAGCGAATTTAATCAAAATTTATCAAAATAATTGAATTTCTTGTGTAAAATTTTATTAAAATTGTTAAAAATAATTAAATTCCTGGGAAGAATTTGATTTTAATTATGAAAGTAATTCAATTCAATTCTCATAAATAATTTCACCAAAATTTTTTAAAGTAATTGAATTTCATTGAATAATTGAAATTGAATAATTTCATTAAAATTTATTAAAATAATTTAATTCTTGTAAACAATTTTATAAATTAGAAAAATAATTGAAATCTGGGTAAGAATTTGATTAAAATTCTATTAAAAATAAATAAATTCTTATAAAGAATTTTACCAAAATTTTTCAAAATTATTGTTTTTTAGAGAAGAATTTTATTTTGTAGGAAAATAATTAAATTCCTTTAGAGTATTTAATTTGATTTTCATTCTTATAAATAATTATATCAAAACTTTTCAAAATAATAAAATTTTGGCGAAGAATTTAATTACTTCAGAAAATAATTTGATTTTTATAAATAATTTTATTGAAATTTTTCAAAGTAATTGAATTTCTGCAAAGAATTTTATTAAAATTTTTTTAAATAATTAACTTTCTGAGAATAATTTTATCAATTATGAAAATAATTGAATTTTTTGTTGAATTTAATTAAAATTGTATCAAACTTTTCAAAATAATTTAATTCTTTTGAGAAATTTCATTGAAATTATACTGAAAGTCATTAAATTCATGCAAAAAAATTTACTAAATTTTTTAAAAACAGTAAATAATTATAATTAATCTATATTAGTTAATTATTGAATTTTTTAAAGAATTAAATCTGAAATTATTTAAAAAATTGAAATTAATATTTAGAAATGAAATGTCTTTTAATTTTCGTTGAATAATAATTGAAAATAGTAAACGTAACTTTTGAAAACAATTAAATTCTTTCGAGGAATTTAATTAAAATTGTATAGAAAATAATTAGATTCTTCTAAAGAAATTCATCAAAAGTTTTGATTTAACTCCTTCGTAAGAATTTTATTATTTACGAAAATAATTCAATTATTTGCAAGAATTTTTTTAAAATGTTTGAAATTATTTAAATTGTTTCGATTAATTTCATTAAAATTTTTAAATATTATTTTTCTAAAATTAAAATTAATATTTTTGAATCGACTAAAGGGACTAAAGTGCTTGATTCCAAAAAAATCTTCTTTTATTTGCTGTCAGGAAATAAAAAATTACCTTGACAATTATAACTTTTTCAGATCCTTTGTCCGATCCTAGAGATCCAGTATTTGTTGTATGAGGTTCATGACTAGGAGACTGAGTCACTGATCGTGGAATTGGAGGACTCGCACTTTCATCACCGCTCGTTGCGATCGAAAGTCGTTTCTATGATTAAAAGAAAATGCAATCATTTAAAATTAAATTTAATCATTAAACTCACTTTCTAAATTAAATTTCTAGTATAAAAGAAAACAATTCTAAATACAAAATGAATTAAATTTTTATTTCCAAGAGAAAAGATACCTCTTCACGCGCAAGCCATCGACTGTCCTCCTCTGATTGACGTTGCTGTTCCAATAATCGTTTCTCCAAAAGTTTTGCTTCCTCCTCCAGTCCGGTATTGAAAATTTCTCCGCTACTCTCGAATATTTGCGATTGTGCGTTTCTCTGAAATTTATAAAACGAAAATTATTGTTTTCTTACAATTTAAAAACGAATTTTCATTCCATTTATGTTTACCCAACTAAATTTTCAAAAAAGCAAACTTAAAATCTAATAATTAAAATTAATATTATGTATAAAATTAAGGTGAAATTCCAGGCCAGTAAACTATAATTGGTGATAACAAAAATATTGGAAATTATTTGCAAATTTATGTACAGAGTCAAAAATTAAAGAGATGCATAATTCCTTGCAAACCAAGTTCGAAATAATAATAATAATAATAAGAATAATAAAATGTACATCATAACTTAACTATTGGATAATATAATACATAATTATATATATCATGCATGCATACGATGTGGTTATACAAAATTGATGATATTATGTCTATGCAGTGTCATTGTTCATTCTCCATGCTTTAAAAATAATCCTAACAAACCAGAAAAGAATTTCAACCATTTTCAACGAAATACCGACAATCCCTACGATTAAATCCAACTATGTAATTATATAAAAAACCAGAATCGGGGTGCACTTGAATTTTGTGCTTTTTTTTGCATTGTATACAATATTTTGTGTCAAACTCCAAAAAGCTTTCTAAATTCTCTAAAATATGTGCGCTCGTGAAACCAAAGATGAGTCCTCATTTTTAAAAAACTATATTGGAAAAATTTTCTCTTGCTCTATTAAAATTGTGCAAATTTACGTCAATTGATAAATGAAATTAATATTAATATGGAAAAATTTTATTTTCCAGTATATTATAAATAGTTAAAGAAAAATAAAATTTACTTACAATTGCAAAAAACATGATGAGAAATATTGAAATGTGTCTTTTAAACTTTTCAACTCAGCAATGACAATTGAATGAAAAATTGCAATGTTCTTGCTTTTACCTAATAATAACGATGATCCGATATAGAGAGGTGACTAAAATAAATGAACCATTAAAATCAAGTGACAAGGTCGATCTCTACTCCCAAAATAGACAACTATTTAAAAAAAACATCAACAAACAATTGACCTAAATTTGCACATTTTGAAAAAAATTGTTTCTTTTTCTATGTATTAATTGTATAGAAATAGTGTTAATAATAAAAATAACACTAATAACAAAAAATAACAAAAAACTAATGAAAGTAATAACAATAATTTAAATTTAAATAATACCAAAAATGATAATAAGAAAATAATAAAACAATAAAAATTAATTGAAGTCAGAAAACTAAATTTTGAGTGCCATACTCCTAGAGAGTACTTAGAGAAAATATATACAATTTTGATAACTAACGAGTGCTCATCGGTAATGAGGAATAATAAGGAAGAAATATTTTAATTTTTATATTAGACTGGTTTACAGATTTAGGAAAAATTCTTTCTTCAATTCAAATTAATTTCCGAAAACAAAAGACAAGAAAGTGATTTAAAAAAATGTTTAATTAAAGAATTAAACTTGCAAGGCAACTGTTAATTTTTTTCTAAATAATTTAAATTATTATAAATAATTAAAGTTTAAAATGTTTCTGATTCTGATTAAAATTAAAATAAGTTGAAACTTAGAAAATTTAAAATTGCAGTGCATTAAATTGAATAACGATAAAAATTTACATATTAAACAAATATTAATCAATTTATTAATTACACTTTTAAAAAATTTATTAAAAGTTGTATTACTTGTAAATTAGCTTGAAATTTGAATAAAATAAAATTTAATTAAACTAAAATTTTTTAAAATTAATTTCATTTTTATTTAAATAATTGGAATTTTATTTAGATAATTAATATTTTATCTCAATAATTAGGTACAATTTTTAGCAATAATTAATATAACATTCTCCCCAGGAATTCAATTTTTCGAAAAATTTTGATTAAATTCTTTATGTGAATTTAAACATTTTCAATATGTATAATTTTAATTAAATATTTTGAAAAAATTCAATGATTTTCGAAAATTTTAATAAAATTCATGACTGAAATTCAATTATTTTGGGAAATTTTGATAAAATTATTTAAGAGAATTGAATTACTTTCCTTATTAATCAAATTCTTCCCAGGAATTTAATTTTTTTGAATAATTTTAATAAAATTTTACACAAGAAATTCAATTATTTTGATAAATTTTTATTAAATTCTTTATGAGAATTGAAATATTTTTAATACAATTTTAATTAAATTCCTCAACAAAATTCAATTATTTTCAAAAATTTTAATTAAATTCCGCAACAAAATTTAATTATTTTCAAAAATTTTAATTAAATTCCTAGCAAAATTTTTATTATTTTCATAATTTATAAAACTTTTCGCAGGAATTTAATTATTTTAAAGAATTTTAATGAAATTATTCACAGAAATTCAATTATATTCAAAAATTTTCATAAAACTCTTTATAAAAATTAATTTTTCATATTTTTTTATCTTCAAAGCATTAAATTAGATTTTCCATTAATTTTAAATTTCAAAACATTAAAAAGAAAAAAATTATCAAAAAAAAAAATTTATCAATAAATTTGTTATTTTACTCAAATAACAAATTGTAATTGATTAAAAGTTAGATCACTTTAAAATTGAATTTAAATTTGAATAAAATAGAAAATTCGATTGATTAAAAAATGTGAATCGAATAAAATTTAATTCTAATTTTTTGAAATCGACTGTTAATTTTTATTTAAATAAATGAAATTTTATCTAAATAATAAAAATTTTTTTAAAATAATTGATATTTTATTTAAATAATTGAAATTTTATCATTAACTGAAGCTTAAATAGTTAAAATTTTTGATAATTTGAAATTTGAATCAATAAATCTTTAAATAAATGGAAAGTTTACTAATTTGAAGTTCCGATGTATTGAATTTGCTTCTATTTAATATTAAAATGAGTTGAAATTAAGATAATTTCGAATTTTGATAAAGTAGAATTTAAAACCTAAAATTTGTATCAATTAATATGTTATAATTTACAATTAATTAATATTTATTTAATTAATTAATATCTTGACGAATAAAACTTAGAATTAGAATTAGTTTTAAGAAATTGAATATGATTAGAATTTCAATCGGTTAAAATCTGAATAGAATTCGATTAAATTAAAATTCAGATTAACTGAATTTCTCAACTTTTTGCCTTTTTTTTGTCGAAAACTAATAATCATTGTCAAAGAAACCAATCATAGTTGATGGTTTCTATTTTTCCTTCTAAGACCAGTGTAATAAATTAAAAAAATGGGGTAGAGGGATAAAAATGCTTTGATTTTGTTTTTTTTGTCATTCGTAGAGAGGCATTTGCAAACCTGTTCATGCTGAACTTCTTCAGTCATGGAACTGCACGATGACACTGTACTGTCGCTGACTGCCGAGGACACCAGCGAGCCGGACATAATTCCGTCAATGGAAGTCGTCAATAAATCGTCTGTCTTTTGTAAAATGAAATTCGTAATTGCCTTGCCAGTAATGACATTCGCCATCTGTTGTGGCGGTAAATTTTGTCGGCAAATTGGCATCATTTGCTGTTGATGCTGTGGATGATGATGATGATGCTGATGTTGCTGTTGCTGTTGCTGTAGAATAGCAACCGATGCGCTTGAATTCGAAACATTAAAATGACTCTGTTGCGACATTATTTGCGAATTAGCACTTTGCATTTGCATTTTTTGCGCCTGAACAATTCCCGTTGGTGTCGCATGAACCGTGTAAATTGGCGCCTGAGAATAAGAAACCGGGGGATAATTTTGCTGCTGTGAATTTTGGGAATTTTGTCTCTGCACAACTTGAGAGCGAGAGACGTAAACTTGCTCCTGACCTGGGAGATTGGAATAAATTTGATAATTCTGGGGATATAGGGATTGAGTTTGATAGCTTTGCATTGGCGTTGGACTGTAGACACGTGAACTTTGAATGTGCGAGACATTCGGTGGGGTTGTGGATTTAATTTCACCCTGATTTTGAGCACGAAATTTAAGAACTGGGCCGTAGAGGCATTCAACGGCGGAGGTGGGGAGATTGGAGGAATTTTGCGATGGGATTTGACCGGAGAACGATTGACTCATCAGTGATGATGATGATGAGGAGGACGACGATGCTTGTGTGATGAGACTAGATAATTGCGTACCGGGATTTTCGCCGAAATTACCGCCAACACTTGGACTTTGACTAAGATTGCCGACGATTGCTGAACTTTGGGAGAAATTAGCGACGGGGCCGTAGATTTCAGCGCTGCACGAGGTGGCGACTGGGGCGAATTTTTGCACTGGGGAATAAAGATCGCCGGCTATATTGCCAATGACTTTTGAACTGACTGAATATAAATTCTGCATCTCTTTAATCCTCTGGCTTCTGGTTGAGGCGGGCGATTGATTTTGATGAGTGGATTCGGAAATTGTGAGACTGGACAAGTGGGATGACATGGTGTCGGATGAATCAAAGGAATCGAGATTCGTGTCTGAGAGAGTCGAATTGGCGGAATTGTTTTCATGATGGGAAAGGAGTGATGATGATGATTCGGCGATGGTGGGATCGAAGAATTGCAAGTCTGTAACCGAGCCGGTTGTCAGGACTTGATCTTCGTCTTGGAATTGAACGGCGAGACTGTTGAATGGAGTGGCGGGCGTTGTATAGACTGAGGGACATACCCCCCGGGCCTGATTGTCCTTGAGGAGTTGCGCCAGGACTTCTGGACTCTGGGCCACGATGTACGTTGAGACGGGCGCTGCTTGCAATTGATCTCCTGCATTTGGCGGCTGACGCGATGGTTTCGGCGGTGGAATATCGTCCGCTCCGGCTGGAATAATTGGAAAAAAATATTATTTATCAACCGGAAGGAAGAAGATAATTACTTGAAGAGGCACAGTTACTTTTTATTTAAATACGAAATCATTTTCAAAATATTTAAAGAGGAAAAAATTTAATTAAGAAGTAAAAACATACCCCATGACATTGCTTGCACTCGACGATTTTCCCGCTTCATTGTCTCCTGTTGTTGATGTTTCTCATCCAATAGAATTTCGCTATAAAATATAATAAATATTAATAAATAATTCTTGAAAAATATTGTTTCTTTACTAATAAAAATTTTGATTTACACTAAAAATAAATAGATACACAAAAAATACACTATTTGTGGACAATTTCAATTATTGTACAAATTTAAATAGCAAAACTCAATTATTTTCAATTAAAATTCTTCAAAAATTCAATTGTTTTCAAAAAATTTAATAAAATTCTTTTCTTACTTATTTTCTAAAATTTAATAATCTTACAAAATTGAAATTAAAATTTTTAAAAAACCTATTTTTCTTTCTTAATTTAAAATAAATTCTTTGGAGTAATTTTATTGATATTGAGATTCTGTGAAGAATTTTATTACAATACTTTGAAATAATTAAATTTCTCCTGAAAATTTCATAAATTATGAAAATAATTGAAAACTTGAAAGGAATTTTATTAAAATTTTCGAAAATAATTAAATTTTTTCCAGGAATTCTCATAAAGAATTTAATCGAAGTTTTTCAAAATAATTGAATTTCCGCTAAGAATTTTATTAAATATTTCAAAATAATTGAATTTTTACTCAGAATTTCATCAAATTTTCAAAAATAATTAAATTCTTTTGAGAAATTTTATTGAAATCGTATTGAAAATAATTGAATTACAATTGATTACTTTAATTAATAATTTAATTGCTATTTTAATTTTGAATCTGAAATTTTAATAAAATTCCATTATCTTTTTCCTGATAATTTTTACTTTTCCGGAGTATTTTCCGATTTCCCTGACCTATGGTAACCCCCGGTAAAAAAATTATTTTTAACTCACTGTAACGTTTCACGAATATCTTTGAATGTTGGTCTCTTGCTTGGCTCATAACTCCAACACTGGGACATCAACGAATACAATCTCGGTGGACAGTGATTTGGCAGAGCGAGTCTTTCACCATTTTCCAGTTTACGAATAACTTCATTATTCTTCACACCCTGGAATGGCTTTACTCCCAACATCAAAATTTCCCACATACAAACGCCTGAGGAGAAAGAAAATTAAGTATTTAAATTATAAAATATAATAATTTTATATATTAATTTACAAGATAATAATAATAATTAATATTTAGTATTTAAACAGCGTTTAGTGCAGAAAAAAACAAATTATGAAAAATACAAAAAACTCACCAAACATCCATACGTCTGATGATGTTGTAAATCTTCGGAAATTTATACTTTCAGGCGCCATCCATTTAATTGGCAGTTTACACTTACTCGCCGTGTAATAACTCTGATCTTCAACCCAACGACTCAATCCAAAATCTGCCAATTTCACGCAATTGTGAGCCGAGACGAGAACGTTTCTCGCCGCGATGTCTCTATAATTTTTATTTCAATTTTTATTTTCATGTCTTTAATTGCAATGTAAATTAATTAATTGTCGATTTTAATGAAAATTTACAAAAAAGGAAAATTATTATTTACCTGTGAACGAATTTCTTGCTCTCAAGATAGGACAAAGCAGTGCTGAGTTGAAAAGTATAGAGTAAAAGTGTTGCCAAATCAAGTCTGTGTTTATTTGACTGTAGGTAGGCACGCATTTCTCCAAGCCTCGCTAATTCCATAACTAACCAAATCGGAGCCTCAGAGCACACGCCGATCAATCTAATGATATGTGGATGTTCAAACTGCTGCATTATGTCTAAAAAAGAAAGTAAATTGTCCCAATAAATAATTAATTATCACAATTTTATAGAGGACAATTTATTTCATTTAATTTTTTTACTATTGATTTCTTTGACAATGCTAAAATATTTATTCAATTATTTTTAAAAATTTTAATAAATCTTTCATAATTCAATTATTTTTTTAAAATAGTAAAATCTTTGCAAAAATTCAATAATTTTCAATAAATTTTTACGAAATAATTCCATTTTTCTCTTAATTCATTATAAAATCATTCAAAAGAATTCAATTATTTTCTAAAATTATAAAAAATCCTTCAAAACAATTTAATTTTTTTTAAATTAATAATAAAATTTTTCGTAAGAATTCAATTATTTTCTATATTTTAATAAAATTCCTTAAATTCATTAAATTACTTTAGAAAATTGTAATAAAATTCTGATTATTCCCAGCGAATCAAGAAGAGAAATAGAAAATAATTAAAAAAATTCTTACACGCTTCTTCTAGAAACTTTTCGGCTGTTGCTAAATCCGCGTCGACTTTACAAGTTTTAACAGCAACGGCAATTGTCTGTCCATCGCGTCCTTTATACGATCCTTTATGAACATTTCCAAATTGTCCCTCGCCTATTATTTCGCCCAATTCCACATGATTTCTCACTATCTCATAGTCTCTCGCTAAAACACAGAAAATGTAAAATTTACAAAAAAGAAATCTATTTATAGAAAAGAAATCGGTTTATAAACAAAAAATCGATTTATAAACAAGAAATCTATTTATAAAAAAAAATTTATTTATAAAAAATATCGGTTTATAAACAAAAAATCGATTTATAAACAATAAACCTGCTTATGAAAATAAAAATTAAAAAAAAGGAATCTAAATCTAAGAAAAAAAATTATAGAAAAAATAATTTCTCAACATATTAAAGGAATTATATTTGCAGCTCGAAAGAAAAACAATTACGAAACATACTCGCAGGAGTGGAATAATCTCCTTCCTCGTCAACAATTTCTGCATAATCCTCTGACAAAATTGTTCCCGTCTTGCCGGCATTTTTCTCCGGACTTTCGGTTTCCTCTTGTCGGTACTTGGGTGGATGTGCATCTAAAAATAAATCTTCTATTAATGTCTATTTTTATAATCAAGAAAAAAAAAGAAAGACAGAAAAAGAGAGAGTGAGTGAGTAAAAGAAAATAGAGAGATTCTTAATTATTTTCCCAGTGAAAAATTCGAAAAAAGTTTTATTTTTTTTGTTTAAAAAAGCAAAAAAGAAAATACAAACCTTTGCAAGGGCAGGGATAATTTTTCCATGAAGCAGCTTGTAATAAGAATGAAATTGTCCTAGTGTTAGTGAATTTTGTTTAATTTTTTTTAAAATAAATAGTTGTAGAAAATATTTCTAAGACTAATTTAAAGATTCAAAAAAAGACATGTTTGTTTTTTTTTGTTAATTTTTAAAATTAGTTTCATCATTGATAGAAGAATTTTCTAGAAATAATTTCGTGTTTTTTTCATTTACTTTGAAAAAGTAATATTACCTTTTCTATTCCAGAGAGATGTATTACTACCAGTGACTAATCTACAATATCCATCAATTAAATCCGCTAAACTCTCGGCTTGATCTAAACTCGAGCAAGTGATGCTTAACGTTTCCGCTGCTCCTGCGACTCTTAATTTTATACAAGCTTTCGTGTGCTCCTTGCAGTCCGACACGAGGGTTTGAATTGACTGAATTTGCGAAAATTCCGTCATTCTCGTCGGCTGTAATTCAAAAATGAATGAATTAATTAATTAAAAAAAAAATATTTAAGAAAATATTTAATTAAAAAACTTTCTTATTTTTAATTAACTAAATTGTAATAAATTATTCTAAAAATCTATTTTAAAAATACAGTTATTATTAGTAATGTACAGGTATTTTTAAATAGATCCTTAGTTTGTTTCCTTAAATTTATTGAACAATATCAAATTTCGAATATTTTTAATTATTCGAAATTTCGAAACTTACAACAGTGCCTCCTCTGTGCGCCATATAAGAAATTCCAAGGTCGGGACCAATGACTAGTTCCACGGGAATCGACCAACTCGACTAAAATTACAAGAATAAATTAACGACCCTGCAAATAACTAGAAAATTATTCTCGAAATCAAAAATTAGGAAACTTATGAATTTTAATTGAATTGCGCTTATGGAAAAGATAATTCTTTTTCGGAATTTTTTACGATATACACATTTTTCTAAGCAACTTAAATAAATAAATGTCTAGTAAATTAGAAAAATAAATTCTAAACTAATAAAATAAGTGAATTCTGAGTTAATTAAGAAAATAAAAAAACTTATAAAATTTTTAAACGATTTTACCAAACTTTTTCAAAATAATAGGTACCTTTCTTGGGGTCGCGTCACAATTGAATTTCTGAATAGAAAAAAATTATTTTGGAAAAGAATATTACATATTTCTTTCTTATAAAGAATTTTATTGAAAATAATGTAATTCTCATTAATAATTTTATGAAAATTTTTCAAAGCAATTGAATTTCTGCGAAGAGTTTTATCAAGTTTTTTTTAAAAATAATTGAATTCTTTTGAGAAATTTTATTCAAAATTGATTGAAAAATATTTTTGAATTCCTACAAAGAATTTTATTATTTACGAAAAGAATTAAATTTTTTTGAAGTATTTAATTACATTTTTTCCTATATAAAGAATTTTATGGAAATTTATCAAAGTAATAAAATGTTTAGAGAAGGATTTTGTTGAAATTCTTTAAAATAAATAAATTCCTGTGCAAAATTTGTATAAATAATGAAAATAATTGAAATCTTTTGTAAAGAATTTAATTAAAATTTTCTAAAATAATAGAATTTCACCAAGGAATTTAATTAAAATTTTCTAAAATAATTGAATTTCACCGAGGAATTTAATTAAAATTTTCTAAAATAATTGAATTTCTTCGAGGAATTTAATTAAAATTGTATTGAAAATATGTCAATTCTCATAAAGAATTTAATCAAAATTTTTAAAAATAATTGAATGTTTGCGAAGAATTGTATCAAATTTTAAGAAAATAATTGAATTTTTTTGAGAAAGTTTATTATGCAATTTTATTAAAAATAATTGATTTCTTGTCAAGAATTTTACTATTTATAAAAATAATTGAATTGTTTCGAACAATTTATGAAAATTTTGGAAAATTGTTGAATTCTTTTGAAAAATTCTATTAAAATATTTTACAAATAATAAACAATAATAATTATTTTCTTTATAAGTGAATTTTTTAAATTTTGTATCTGAAATTATTCAAAAATTGAAATTCATGCTAGTTAAGTAAATAAATAAAATTTAATTTTAAAATTAATCAATTTTAATTTAATTTGTTTTTAAATTTAATTTTAATAAATAAAATAATAAAAAGCGACGATGAAATTTTAAATGTAATTAAATTAAATTTATATTAAAACAAAAGTCACACTTACTCCCAAAGCGCAAATAAAACGCTCCTGATCAAATCGGTAATGCGAGCGTAGGAGATCGAAAAATTTAAACATACACTCGAGTTCTGAAAGGGCAGCAACTTTTTTGAAATGCTGCTGTATCAGTTTCCTCAAAGCTTTGGGTTTCATACCATTTAATACGGAGCGTGGCAAAAATTTGTGTAAACCGACCTGTTTGAAAAAATTCATTACTCTTTACTTCTTCTTTTCTTTTTCTCTTGAGTTTAATTTTTTTTCGTTAAAATATATTACTAATTTTAAATTTAATTATACACTGAAAAAAAATGTATTTGATTCAAGGAAATATTTATTTGATAATAGACAAGTAATCGGTTATTGGAAGCAAATAAATTTTTTTTCAATGTATATTAAAAATATATTGTATTACATTAAAAATTGATAATTACAATAATTAATTAAAAAGAATGATAATAGTACGAACCTCACGTTCCAAGTATTCCAAGTTGCTTTTTTTATCCAAAGCAATTTGTGGCATGTCTTTAAAAAAATACCTAATTTCTAAACAGCACAATTGAACCGCAACGTCTTGATCCAACGTCGAATGATTTGCATTTAAATAATCGTTTCGCACCTGTAAAATTTAAAACATTTTTATTAATTGAATTTTAATTTAGCAGATACTATTAGATTAGATATTAGACAGATTAGAAGGAGAACAATAAAAAATGGACGGATAACAAACATTGTTTGCTAATTAAAAATTCTGTGATCTAATAATCTGTCAAGAAAAATTTTCGTATAGCAAAAATTCGCGTAGTAATTAATTAATTAATTTAAATTCAAAATTTTTTAATTCAGCTAAATAAAAATTATACACAAAAAAAGCTTGAAGAAATGATCGAAAAAAGAGATGTGTGCTCCAGATGTTATTAATTATAATATTTAATAATTAATAATAATATATTAAATTTAAAAAAAAAATTAATTTTACCTGATCGTAGTAGTAGAAAAACGTGACCTTATCTTTTTCATAAAGATCATTTAAATTTTGAGGTAGATAGCGCACCCTTAATTCGTACCTCCACTCACTGTGTGGATGTTTCTTTTCATATTTTTCTTGCACCTGAAAATGAAGAAAATTTCATTTTTAATAATTTAAACAATGAAATAAATAAAAAATAAGTATATTTAAAAAATAAATAAATTTAGGAAAATTTGGATAAATTATTACCTGATACATTGTTGTATCCTGATGTAGCCAATAACTTTCACCAGAGCCAGGATGATGAAGTCTCATTGCATACAATTGTTTATAATGTCTTGTACCGACAGCTAATCTACTTGTGACCAGAGAAATAATGCCTTTAACGTCAATAGCATCTCCGAATTTGACTACATTGAAGCCTCCTGTAAATTTTAATTTACACACATTTTGTTATTGACCTTTTATTTTTTTTCTTTTTTTTCTTTTTAAATTTGATTAATTTCAAGAATTATCTAAAAAAAACTAATAATTAATAAGCAAATAAGTAAATTAATAAATAAGTAAACAAATCAGTAAATAAATAAGAAAAAAAATAAATAAAGAAGTGAATAAAAAGTAAAATAATAAGTAAATATATTTAAGTAATTAAGTAAGTAAAAAAATAGATAAATATATAAGTAAAAAAAATATTTTTTACTTTCTTATATATTTACCTATTTTTTAAATTTATTTAAAAACTTTACTTGCTTAGTTACATATTTACTTATTTTTTTACTCTTCTATTTATTTACTTCATCATTTAATGATTTATTAATTTACTTATTTACTTAATCATTTAATTATTTATTAATTTATTTATTAACTAATTCAGGGTGTCTACAACTAATCTGAAAAGAATTTCCCTGACATTTCCAGGTTTCCCAGGCCTTCTAAAAAATTTTTTCCAGGTTTTAAGAATTGACATAATAAAGGGTTACAAAAAATACATTGCATAAATTTCATTTGATAACACTTATAAATGACGTGGGAGAAGTATTCACAATGTTTGTCACCGACGATTTGAAAGAAAAAACTGTTTTTCACTCAAAAAACAACATTTTACGTTTACAAAATTTTCCTTTTTAAACTTTTTGTTCAAGAAACATTGTAAAAGTTTTATTAATACAAAAGTTTGAATAGAAAAAAAAAATTATCAAGGCTTGAACCAGTGATACAGTATTTAAAAAAACGTACTTCACGGAAAAAAAATGAAAAATTACGTACCATTTACGAACAAAAATATAACCAGTACGAGTTAAATTAAATTTTTCATAATCATAACTATGTATGTATAAAACATGAAGATATTGCTTTTAATATTTAATTATTATCTAAAATTGTAACTGAAATTAATTTTTAAATAAATTTTTATTAGAATTCAATTATTTAAATACAAAAATAAATAATTTATTGAATTATTGAATGTTTCTTAAAATTTAATTCTCATAAAGAATTTTACTAACAAATTTTTAATTTGATGACGAATTTTAATAAAATTTTTAAGAATACATAATTACATTTTTCTAAGAATTCGATTAAAATTGTATTAAAAATAATTCAAATTCTTTGATCATTTTTATTATTTATGAAAATAATTGAATTCCTAAAAAGAATTTTATTATGCACGAAAATAATTCCTGTGAACTGTTTATTATTTTATGAAAATAATTAGATTCTTTTGGAAAAATTTTATTAAAATAGTACATATTGAAAAACATAGAAATAAGGAAAATTTTTGAAAATAATTGAAATTTTGCATAGAATTTTATTAAAAAATTTTTAAAATAATAGATTTTCAGAGAAGAATTTTATTATTTATAAGGATAATTGAAATTTTGACGAGAATTTAAAAAATTTTTTGAATATATGTAATTGAATTTCTGCAATCATTTGTAATTTATCTAAAATTCCTCAAATTATATCGTACAATTTACAAACTTTTCGCCCTTTTTTAATCAAATTACGAACTTTACGGACCTTTTTTTAAAAAAACCTGACTTTTACGGACTTTACGGGATTTAGTTTGAGCCCTAAATTATGTATTTAAAAAATAAATTGATTTATTATACGAAACGAATTTTTTCAATGCCATTATTTCTGCATTTCTTTTGATCTTTCAGAATTTTAAGTGGTCAATTTTTTTCTATTTGATTATATGTATGTCTGTGGTTCATATTATTTCTCAAAATAAAATTGCAAATTAGAAAGGCAATATTAATTATTAGTATTAATTTTTTACTAAAAATTTGTAAAACTAAATTATGAGCATTAAAAATATTGTTCAAGAGTATTTCAAGTCATGATGAAAAAAATTCCCTGACTTTCGAAAAAATTCCCTAACATTTCCCGGTTTTCCAGGACATTTTTAATTTCCCTGACATTTCCCGGTTTTCCAGGTTTTCCAGGTGTTGTAGACCCCCTATCAAATTTACAGATTCCTATACCGACATTTACCCACATTTTCTAGTCCAGACTCAAACCACATGGTAATCTTGAATAATTTCCTGTGTAAGTTCTATTTACAGATTCCTATACCGATATTTACTCACATTTTCTAGTCCAGACTCAAACCACAAGGTGGTCTTGAATAATTTCCTGTGTCAGATATATTTACAGATTCCTATTCCGACATTTACCCACATTTTCTAATCCAGACTCAAACCACAAGGTGATCTTGAATAATTTTCTGTGTCAGATATATTTGCAGATTCCTATACCGACCTTTACCCACATTTTCTAGTCCAGACTCAAACCACAAGGTGATCTTGAATAATTTCCTGTGTCAGTTATATTTACAGATTCCTATACCGACATTTACCCACATTTTCTAGTCCAGACTCAAACCACAAGGTGATCTTGAATAATTTCCTGTGTCAGATATATTTACAGATTCCTATTCCGACATTTACCCACATTTTCTAGTCCAGACTCAAACCACAGGGTCATCTTTAATAATTTCCTGTGTCAAATATATTTACAGATTCCTATACCGACATTTACCCACATTTTCTAGTCCAGACTCAAACCACAGGGTCATCTTGAATAATTTTCTGCACCAGCTAAAATTTACAGATTCCTATACCGACATTTACCCACATTTTCTAGTCCAGACTCAAACCACATGGTAATATTGAATAATTTCCTGTGTCAGTTCTATTTACAGATTCCTATACCGATATTTACTCACATTTTCTAGTCCAGACTCAAACCACAAGGTGATCTTGAATAATTTCCTGTGTCAGATATATTTACAGATTCCTATTCCGACATTTACCCACATTTTCTAATCCAGACTCAAACCACAAGGTGATCTTGAATAATTTTCTGTGTCAGATATATTTGCAGATTCCTATACCGACCTTTACCCACATTTTCTAGTCCAGACTCAAACCATAAGGTCATCTTGAATAATTTCCTGTGTCAGTTATATTTACAGATTCCTATACCGACATTTACCCACATTTTCTAGTCCAGACTCAAACCACAAGGTGATCTTGAATAATTTCCTGTGTCAAATATATTTACAGATTCCTATACCGACATTTACCCACATTTTCTAGTCCAGACTCAAACCACAGGGTCATCTTGAATAATTTTCTGCACCAGCTAAAATTTACAGATTCCTATACCGACATTTACCCACATTTTCTAGTCCAGACTCAAACCACATGGTAATATTGAATAATTTCCTGTGTCAGTTCTATTTACAGATTCCTATACCGATATTTACTCACATTTTCTAGTCCAGACTCAAACCACAAGGTGATCTTGAATAATTTCCTGTGTCAGTTTTATTTACAGATTCCTATACCGATATTTACTCACATTTTCTAGTCCAGACTCAAACCACAAGGTGATCTTGAATAATTTCCTGTGTCAGATATATTTGCAGATTCCTATACCGACCTTTACCCACATTTTCTAGTCCAGACTCAAACCACATGGTGATCTTGAATAATTTCCTGTGTCATATATATTTACAGATTCCTATACCGACATTTACCCACATTTTCTAGTCCAGACTCAAACCATAAGGTGTTCTTAAATAATTTGCTGGGCGAGTTCTATTTGCAGATTCCTATACCGACATTTACCCACATTTTCTAGTCCAGACTCAAACCACAAGGTGATCTTGAATAATTTCCTGTGTCAAATATATTTACAGATTCCTATACCGACATTTACCCACATTTTCTAGTCCAGACTCAAACCACAGGGTCATCTTGAATAATTTCCTGTGTCAGATATATTTACAGATTCCTATTCCGACATTTACCCACATTTTCTAGTCCAGACTCAAACCACAAGGTGTTCTTGAATAATTTTCTGGACCAGTTCTATTTGCAGATTCCTATACCGACATTTACCCACATTTTCCAGTCCAGACTCAAACCACAAGGTGTTCTTAAATTATTTTTTGGGTCAATTCTATTTACAGACTCCTATACCGACATTTACCCACATTTTTTAGTCCAGACTCAAACCACAAGGTCATCTTGAATAATTTCCTGTGTCAGATATATTTACAGATTCCTATACCGACATTTACCCACATTTTCTAGTCCAGACTCAAACCATAAGGTGTTCTTAAATAATTTGCTGGGCGAGTTCTATTTACAGATTCCTATACCGACATTTACCCACATTTTCTAGTCCAGACTCAAACCACAAGGTCATCTTGAATAATTTCCTGTGTCAGATATATTTACAGTTTTCTATTCCAACATTTACCCACATTTTCTAGTCCAGACTCAAACCACAAGGTCATCTTTAATAATTTTCTGGACCAGTGCTATTTACAGATTCCTATACCGACATTTACCCACATTTTCTAGTCCAGACTCAAACCACAAGGTGTTCTTGAATAATTTTTTGGGCGAGTTCTATTTGCAGATTCCTATACCGACATTTACCCACATTTTCTAGTCCAGACTCAAACCACAAGGTGTTCTTGAATAATTTTTTGGGCGAGTTCTATTTGCAGATTCCTATACCGACATTTACCCACATTTTCTAGTCCAGACTCAAACCACAAGGTGTTCTTGAATAATTTTCTGGACCAGTGCTATTTACAGATTCCTATACCGACATTTACCCACGTTTTCTAGTCCAGACTCAAACCACAAGGTGATCTTGAATAATTTCCTGTGTCAGATATATTTACAGTTTTCTATTCCAACATTTACCCACATTTTCTAGTCCAGACTCAAACCACAAGGTCATCTTTAATAATTTTCTGGACCAGTGCTATTTACAGATTCCTATACCGACATTTACCCACATTTTCTAGTCCAGACTCAAACCACAAGGTGTTCTTGAATAATTTTTTGGGCGAGTTCTATTTGCAGATTCCTATACCGACATTTACCCACATTTTCTAGTCCAGACTCAAACCACAAGGTGTTCTTGAATAATTTTTTGGGCGAGTTCTATTTGCAGATTCCTATACCGACATTTACCCACATTTTCTAGTCCAGACTCAAACCACAAGGTGTTCTTGAATAATTTTCTGGACCAGTGCTATTTACAGATTCCTATACCGACATTTACCCACATTTTCTAGTCCAGACTCAAACCACAAGGTGATCTTGAATAATTTCCTGTGTCAGATATATTTACAGTTTTCTATTCCAACATTTACCCACATTTTCTAGTCCAGACTCAAACCACAAGGTCATCTTTAATAATTTTCTGGACCAGTGCTATTTACAGATTCCTATACCGACATTTACCCACATTTTCTAGTCCAGACTCAAACCACAAGGTCATCTTTAATAATTTTCTGGACCAGTTCTATTTACAGATTCCTATACCGACATTTACCCACATTTTCTAGTCCAGACTCAAACCACAGGAAATTTATTTGTTCACTTATTTTTAAATTTACTGTAAATGATTAAATTTAAAAATAACTAAACGAATAAATTAGTAAATAAGTAAACAAATAATTATATAAATGATTAAGTAAATAAAAATAAAGGAGTAAAAAAATAAGTAAATATATTAGTAAGCAAGTTAATAAATTAATAAATAAATAATTAAATGAATAGGTAAATAAATAAGGACTTAAATAAAAGTAAATACATAAATAAGTAAAAAAATAAGTAAATTAATGAATAAGTAAAAAATAAATGATTAAATAAATAATTTTTTTTTTTTGAATAAAATTTTAATGATATAGAAATTTTTATTTATAAGAGAAGTGATTTTGGAAAATGATTAACGTACCATTTGGTAAATGAACTTTTAGTGTTGCCTTATCCATTGGGGTGGGTGACCCATGTGGAGGAGTATTCCGTCCCCCACCCCCTCCTTGTACTCCACCTCCATCTCCTCCAGTGCTCATCCCCTCATGGCTGAAAATAAACAAAAATTCTTCATTAATTACTCAAGTACACACTAAAAAAAAAGTCTTACTTTCAGCCTCTTTTTGAGGCTGAATTTAAGGTGTAAACGGAGTCAGCCCCGTTAGACAAGGACAGACTTATGTGAAATACATGGGCTGAATTTAAGGTGTAAAAGGAGTCAGACTTTTTTTTTCCTGTGTATATTTAATTTTCTATCTGTATACGAATACAATTTTAGAATTTATTTGACTTAATTAAAATTTATTTGGTTCAAGTAAATATTTATTTGATAATGGACAAGTAGTCGGTTATTTTTTTAACCAAATAATATTTTTTACACTCTCTAAATTTTAATTAGTCGAAATGTTTATTAAAATTTGAATTAGTGACTGACTTTTTGCTTTTGAAATTAGTAAATTTTGATATAATAAATTAATAAAAATTACTATTTATTATAGTAAAATTTACTCTAATTCGAAAGCAAAAAATCACACACTAACTAAAATTAGTAAATTACACTAATAAATTAGTAAAATTTACTATTTATTAGCAAAATTTTTTTACAATTCAAACAAATTTTATCTTCAATTTAAAAAATAATTTTTAAAAAAAATTTCTTTGTTTCAAATAAATCTTTTAAAAATTTGTTTAAAATCTTTTTCTGGACGTATAATAAGGAAACGTATACATAGTAAAATTATTCGAAATGTTTAATTTTATGCCTTAAAAGTGAACGCATAAATGAATTGATTGACAATGTTGTTAATTATGATTAATATCAATTGTTGCGAATAGATCGATGAAAATGATGCAAAACTGGTTCTGCAATCTTTTTGTTATTACTCGTGATAAAGGCATTAGTTCATGTGGCAATATTGTATATTATAAGGATTTATTGATTATTTCAACAGTTTTGAAATAATAATAATAATCCAACAAATATAGAGAGATTTTTCTCTTAGGAAATATCTCTCGGCTATTAATAAATCTACAAAGTTATGATTAAAATATTATTAATAATTAAATTTACTCTTGAAATAATATTAAGAATTTACAAGTAATTACTCATTGATTATTTTAACTAATTAACTATAAAATAATAATTAATTGAATATGAAATAATAATTAATTTTTTCATTCACTATTTAATTCATTAAAAAATAATAATTTATTTTTCATTCTCTATTTAATTTATTAAAAAATAATAATCACTATATTTTAATAAATTAAATTTTTTTCGCTCATTAGTTAATTAATTAAATTAAATAATCAACAATTAATTGCTCATAAAATCTTATTAAAACTGAAAAAAATTTATTCGATTCAACTAACCGATTACTTGTCTATTATCAAATAAATATTTATATTTTACTTGAATCAAATTACTTTTAGTTAAACCAAATAAATTATATTTTAATCAATAATCTCTTGGTTTAAATACCATTTAATTGATTTAAATAAAAATTATTTGATTCAAGTAAATATTTATTTGATAACAGACAAGTAATTAAATTTTTTTTTTTCATTGTAAAAGAAAAAATTAAATAATAAATAAAAATATATTAATAAATAATAAATATATATAAGTAGAAAAAATTGTTTTAGAGTGAAAAAATTTGATGTTTTTTTTGACAATAAAAAAAATAATAAATTAAAAAAATAATAATAATTATTTTTAAATTAATTACTTTTGTTTATTCATAATTTATTAATTAAATATTGAATAATCAATAATTACTTATTAACTTGTTTTCTTTTTTTATTCTTATTACTGTTTGAAGCTTAAAATTTATTATTTTGTTTTATTTATTTATTATTATTATTAATTAATTAAATAATAAATATAAAGTAACAATAATTAAACAATTAATTATTGTTATTATAGTTAGAATTAAATGTTCAATAGAAATTTTTTCTGTATTTTTTAATGTATTATTATTATTTAAAAATTAAAACAAGAAAGAAATGCCAAAGAAACATCCTTGTTTTGATATTTTTCTCATTTTCTTTTTTTTCTGCAAGAAAGATAAAAGGTTATAGAGATCTGATTGGAAGATGCTTATTCCTTATGACATTAAATGAGAAAGCTAACCAATTGGCAATCTTCAAATAAACATAGAGGAGATGATAAAATTTCAATAATAGGTAGTTTTCTACATAAAGTTTATTTTGATTATTGAATTTTCTTCTTCTCTTTCTCGAATTAAATTATTTCTAATCTTTATAATCATAAAATGCGGAAATCAATTTCTCCAATAAATATTTTTATTTGTTTTTAGAGACACTATATATATTATTTTCTATTGAGATCATATCAAAAGATATGTATACAAAGAGAGAAAGACAGAGAGACTTTCAGTCTCACGGCTTCATCTGGCTCGCGTAGGCGTTCTTTTAAACTTTTAGACAAACATTCTATTAGTTTGTCACAATTATTTCTTTCTGTTATTCGCAAATTTATTTCTTTTTTTGTTATTTGAAAATTAATTTTTTCTCTTTCAACATAATTTTTCCTTTTCGGAAAAAATTATTTCATTCTTCTTTTTCAAAAGAAAAAATGTTTTCATTTTTTGTAAAGAAAAAAAAAATTGTTTTTTATAATTTTTCTTTTCTAAAGAAAAAATATGCTTTCATTTTTTGCAAAGGAAAAAAATTGTTTTTATAATTTTTCTTTTCAAAAAAAAAAAAATTAATAATTACATTTTATGTTTAAACAATTATTAATTATTAATTATTAATTATTAATTATTAATAATTTAATAATATTGACAAGTAATTAATAAAAATAGTAATAAATTAATAAAAAGATTATCACTAGATGGCTAGGAGTAGTTTTAGCAACTGAAGTGCCATCTAGAGGTGACCTTGGCGTTCTCAGGTGGAGAAAAGCAAAAAAAAAACTGTCTGAACTTTTCTATTAGATTTTCTTTTAGAAAATTTTGGTAAATAAAAAAATTTTTTCTTTCCTGTAATACAGAGTTGTAATTATTTATTTTTCTCAGCTTGCCAAGCATTACAAGATGATAATTGAAAGAACAAACGTTGGCATTCACGTATTCTTTGAAGGATATAATTTGTCACGCATCGTGGCAATTTGTTTATTTTTTTTTCTCCATTTTACACAACGAAGGACAATGATGCAAAAGTCAACGCGTCGATGATCTAATAAACACGATTTGATTCGTAATGCTGAATATAGGTCCAGGAAATAAAATTATAGCTTTACGTAAGACTGTAATAAGGTTTTTTTTTCTATAATCACAAACTATATTTCAATAAACGTATACATATGAAAATTTTTAATCAGACTCAGAGGTCGTACGTGATTATAAACAATATTCATTGTAAGAAAGAAAATTACCTCTATTTTTAATACATCTTGATATTATAGAAAGAAAAAATTTTTTTCTTGGCTTCGTACTCGATAATTAATTTTTAAAAAAGTAGTAAAAAGTAGATTAAAGACTCAAAAAAAGAATACTGAAAACTACTAAAAAAGTAGCTATTAAAAAATTAAATTTAATGACTTAATTTTTTCATACTTTCTAAATTAAATTACATTCCAAAATTTTAATCCAATCTTCACTTATTATCTAAAATTTTAACTGAAATTCAATTTTACATATAAATCAATTTTTATTAGAAAATTCTACGACAAATCAATTATTTAAATATAATTTAAACACAAAAATAAATAATTGATAGAATAGTTGATTATTTCTTAAAATTGAATACTTATTATAAAAAATTATATCAAAATTTTTGAAAATAATTGATTTTTTCCAAAAGAATTTAAATAATTAAAAATAATTACATTTTTCGAAGAATTCATTTAAAATTGTATTAAAAATAATAATTAAAATCCTGATAGGAGTTTTATTTTTTATGAAAAGAATTGAATTCTTAAAAAGAATTTTATTATTTATGAAAATAATTGAATCCCTGCGTAAAAAATACAATTATTTATGAAAATAATGAAATTATTGAGAAGAAATTTATAAAACATTCGTAAAATTGAATTCCTGAGAAAAATTTTATTACTTGCAAAAATGATTGAATTTTCTAAAATCATTTTACGAAAATTTTAAACAAAAATTCAATTGTATCGAATACTTAGAAAAATAATTGAATTCATTTTTAAATAAATTTTTATTAGAAAATTCTACGATAATTAATTTATTTAGTTACAAAAGTAAATAATTTATTCAATAATTGAATGTTTCTTAAAATTGAATTCTAATAAGAATTTTATCAACAAATTTTTAATTAACTGAATTCTGTCGACAAATTCTAATAACATTTTTAAAAATAATCACATTTTTGAGGAATTTGATTAAAATTCTACTAAAAATAATTGAAATTCTGCGATGAGTTTTATTACATTATGAAAATAATTGAATTCCTAAACAGAATTTTATTATTTACAAAAATAATTGAATCCCCGTAAAAAATTTTATTATTTATGAAAACAATTGAAAATTGCGAAGAAATTTATAAAAAAAATGTTGTAAATAATTGAATTCCTCTGAAATTTTTATTATTTATGAAAATAATTGAAAGTTTGTACATTTTAAAAATCACTGAATTGAGAAAAAATTTTTAAAAATAATATTTAAATTTTACAAAGAATTTTATTTAAATTTTTGAAAATAATAATTGAATTTTAAAGAAGAATTTTATTATTTTTAAAGATAATTGAAATTTTGACTAGAATTTTTACAAAATTTTTGAACATATAATTAAATTTCTGCGAAGAATTTTATTGCTTTTGAAAATAATTGAATTTTTGCAATCATTTCTAACTTCTCCAGAATTCAATTTTTTTCAAGTGTTTTTAACTAAAATTCTTCTATAAATCTATTATTTTTAATAATTAATTAAATATATATTAAAAAATTTAATTAATTTCAGAAGAATTTGTATTATTAAAATTTTTTCAAAAATCAAAGTTCTTTAAAATTTCCAATTAAATGCATTAAAAATTAGAAATTTTCAAAAATTTCAAATTG